AAAAAAAAATATATATCGATTTACGTCCGCGTACGTTTGGCGGTCGGGATATTTTAGCGGATTTCATCGGGCACGATAAATGATTGGGATGAAACGTGAAATCTGCAGAATTTCAACGTGGAAAAAGAGAGCCGAGCAAGTTCAAGGTTCGCCGTACACGTTGAAAGTATATAACCTTTGGACATTTGACCTCCACTTCTTGGGTTATATGGCGGAAATGTGTCGATGAAGGGCACTCGATGATGAAATCGGAAACTATGTCAAGTATTTTTGACAAGAGAGAGAGCGAGCGAACGAGAGGGAGAGAATTGCGAGAGCGCAGTCTGCAGATTCCAGAAATCGTGCTGAATTTAAAAAGTCTCTCCTTGGCTTCCAGGATCAATTAAGGCAATCGAATCTTTTCTAAAGGATTTCTCATCCCCTTTGCCTCGTTTGGCTTCGCGCAAGAGATTCGCGCTCGATTCTATAGTTACGTACGTTTACGAAGCTTAAGCCGCAACACAGATAACATTTATCTATAATAGAAACGGGCGTCCCTTTGCTGACAAATGGCGCGTTATCTCGGCGATGCCGCCTTTTCATTGGTCCGCGGAGCAATTTGACCCTTCGATAAGGGAAAGTAAGTTTGGACGCGCGAATCTCGATTACCGGTGCCGTTATTTAAACGACCGTTTCCGTCAAACTTATTCCGGGCTGTCTTATCGGGCGACGTTCAATTTCGAGCACAATCCGCGTAATCGCTAACCCTTTGGCGGCCCCGAAATCTCACCGGGTAACACGAATGCGCCCCGTCACGTATGCAGATGCTATTTTTACCTTAATTTCGGAGACGAGATCGTATCCGACCGGGATTGTATTAGATTCAAGACGGAATATTATTTTCCGTGCAAGAGCGGAATGCTGTTCTTCGTGCCCGTGCACCCTCGCGTGGTCGATGGAAAAATGTTTTCGCCCCGTTTTAGCCGATTTGTCAAATTCACGACACACTTGCGAGTTTCTGGGAAAGTATCGATTGCGGGCGCAGCCCGCTACCTTTGCCGTTACCGGCACGGCGCGGCCGAACTTTTATCGTTTTCGCGTGCTTCAGACACATCGACCGGCAACTTCCAAAGCGGTCGTTAAAGTAGCGGTAACCCTTGAACGATTCTCATAGATGCTGACCAGAAATCATGCAATCTACTGGAATTTGCATTTATTCTTCCTCATCGTGAATCTCTTTGGAAGAATAATGGCTGCTAAGGTGAAAATAATATCCTTTCGTGTACTTATACACTCTTATATTTATACATGTGTATGTAAGGAGCGCGTGAAATCAATTTTTGCTACGCTGAAGATGCGATATAATTGCAACCGAGACGCACGATCATGTATTTTAATTGAATAAAACGTGCACCAAGCACCCACGTGCTTGACTCTCGGTGCCTTTTGCTCTTATTAATTCAGTTTCAATATCGAGAATCCTACATTGAATACTGTTTATTTATTTTTTATTTTTTTACGTATACAGTACCGGTCAAAATTGTATCACTTTTTTAGATTTTTTTAATATAAATTGGTGGGGGGGGAAGAGGGTCAGTGCGAGCCAAACGTATTCGTGCGAAAATATCCAATATGGAATTTTTTATTGAATTTATAAATTAATCATCAAACGTTTCTACCCACTTTCGGGTCATCCTCGGTGAGACAAAATTAAATCTGATATAATAAAAAAACGAAGACGGAGAACGCATGTTTGCAGCCAGCGTGTACGTTAATTCAACGAGTAGAGACGGCTCCCAATAAACAAATTGGTGGGGAGAAGAAGTTCAGTGCGAGCCAATCGCAGGTGTTCGTGCGAAAATGTCCAATGTGGAACTTTTTATTGGTTTTATAAATTAATCATCAAACGTTTCTGAATATAACTTTCGTCGCAGTGCATCGAATGTGCTCAAAATTTCCCAGTAGACACCTGATAACATGAAGGATAATAAAATGCGACAAAATACGCTATGTATTTAAGGATTTAAGGACTTGAGGTATTTAAGGACTACCGCAACTCAAGGGAGCTCAGTATCAGAGTCTCCAGCCCTGATGATGCAAACAGCAATGTTTGCGAAACGTCGGCACCACACTGCGCACGGACACGGCAACTATCCGGAAGCCATTACGACTGAAAAATATACTATGAGTTTCGAATTTTTCATTCGTGCACTTTAAAACTACCGAGAAAAATAGCCTGGACCATCTAATCGGATAATTCAATTACATAGTAACAAACGGATATAGGTATTCAATTGTATATCCGGCGAAAAATATAATCGGTTTTTCGATTAATTTCGGTAACTTCAATTTCATCGGATACATTTCATCGAATGTATTCATAATTTAATCGGAAAACTTAATGAAAAAGCCGATGGTTAATTTTCCATCGGAAACGCTACTTCATCGATTTATCCAGTGCAAGTTTGTCTCATTGTCAGTGTGTAGTTACGCTTAAAAAATCGAGAGGCGATACAATTTTGGCCGGTACTGTATATTTTTCAAAGAGGATGCTGGAGTGACGGCTGAACTCCGACGGGATAGTTTGAAAATTTCAAAGACATAATGCGATACGAATTAGACTTCAAACCTCAATGTTTTTAATATGAAAATGTTCTACTGTACAGTCCACACACCGCTCTGGTATTATTTTGTGCACAAAAGCCAATAATAAGATTTACGAACGCAAAAACTGTATGCGACTCTGTCGGTAAGTCAAAGTCACTCCAGCACGCAACATAATCATTATCACGTTTTCTATCAGTTAGATATCGTTTGACTAATCCCGCAGACAATTCCAAGAGAGACAAAGTCGGAGATAAAAATCATCCTCGAGGGAATTCGAAGAATTAACTTTCCCCTTTGGTCTCCTCGTGGAGACAAATGTGGCGTTTGGATTCTGAATATTTAATATCCTTTTTACCTTAATTCCTCATTTCCATGCGTAACATCATCTTATCCACCTCGGACGACGATACCCGGCTTGTCAAGGCTATCAACCTTCCGTCCAACTCCGAAAAGAGCGAACGGAGCGAGCGAGATAGCGCGTCTCGACGATAAATAGAGCGTAACTTCGTTTCCGTAGCGCTCGTCGCTAATTCTACCTTCCACCCACGCTCCCGCCGTCTCTCGCGGCGGGTCGGTGTTACGCAAGCGGAAGAATGTCGTGAGTTACATCATACCCATCCCCGTGTCTTGCATTCGATATATCGATTCATCCCCCGACGCGACGCGATGTGACGCGACGCGAGGTGACGCGAGGCGACGCGGCATGTCCTTGTTATTTCGTGTAACGGTCAGACGGTCGCCAGACTGACGTAGATGAAAATAGTTACGTGGCAAAACGAATCGACAGCCGGAGCAACCCTTCAGGTGCATTATCCGATCGATATATACCGTTCCCGGAATGTGTTCAAGGCCAGTGGCAGGAAATTCGATTCTCCCTCTTTCTATATATTTTATTTTTATTTGTTGTTACCCCACATCAGTATTTTATGTACACTTGACGCGGCTCGCGTACGGGAGGGACGCGAATGCACACGAATGCATGGATCATCGTCTCGTCCTCGGATAGAACACGGCGATATATCAACGGGCGTAATGGTACACGCGTCGCGATGTCGTAGATAAATGGATACGTGTGTTTGCGCGCCGATGCATCGTCGCGTCGTTTTCCCAAAGAGCGGCACTCGATGAGCAAAAGTCTGAAGATGCACTCGATAAGAATTGGCCGTTCCGTCGAAACGCAATCTCCGCTTATTTATGAGAAAGACATAAAGACACACGGAACCGTATAGAACATAAATCGATATCGTTTCCCGTTTCTCTCGGGGAACGAAACGTTTACGGTGTTTTAAAGACACCGGGAGCACGGGCGTTTCAAAGCCGAGGGTCTTAATCGTCGATGAACGTAATAACGTGGCGTCGTATAAATCCGCGATGAACGTCGCGTAGCCCGAGACTCGATGGAGAAAAAGAAATACAAGACGCAAGAATGTGAAATACATCTGAGACGTGCTTACGTATATTTACACAGAGTGCTCTTAACAGTGCGCGAACAGACAGTTTAGAATGAGAAAAGTTGCCATTCCACCGAGTGATTCTATTTACGCCCTATGCAAGTTTCGGAGTCGTGCAACTGGGTCACCAAGGGACCTCTTGAAAAGCGTTTGATTTCCCATAGCACCGTCCTAACGGCGCCCCTATTGTCGTCGCGGAAAAAACTGTGCGATTATTATTTATTAAGTAATCTGTAAAACTCGAGATCGGCGCGTCGCGGAACAACTGCATGTCTTATTTCTATTTCATTCGGTAAAATGAAGCAGGTAAGCGAAAAAGATTTCGAGTGCGGGCCTGGATAGCTCAGTTGGTTCGAATCCTGGTTTAGTCCGAGCCCGCTATTTTTCTCGCCGAAAAACGAGGGGTAAACCGCTGAGAGCATTGTGGTGTACAGATTTCGGGCATTAGGTAGGTGTTACCAGGCATTTTTTAGGGAATTAGTGGGTGTTATTTGGCCTTGCTGGGGCATAAAGAGTCTGAAAAGGTAAAAATAAGATAACAAGATGATGCCCACCCCCAATGGAAAAATATATATTTCAAAAAGTAGGCGAAAATATATGGTAATATATTTCATACATTTGGTGTATAAAAACTTTATTTAAAAAATCGTATATAATATTATACTTATGTCAAAAATATACTAAAAATGTATGTGAAATATACGAACAATATTTAAATTGTATTCTTATAATTTCGCAATAACGCTCTTCGCTGCCGCGAGGCGGCGATCGCACGTTACATTGTCCCGTATTTAAAAATCAAGCAACAGCAGTGTATAAGAAGTGGCGAGAAATCAGATCTGTTGTGGTAAATGAAATCAATTTGATCTCCGCTGGTAAAGCGTTGAGAACCTAAATTCTAAGATACTTAGAGCAGCACGCGGTCTAACGCATTTCTAACCAAGCTCGTGTGCGTTGTTTCAGGAACTCCCACAATGTGAACGTACAAACAAGCGCAAATGCCCAACAAGGCGCGGCCTCGTCAAGAGTGGTCTCCTCAATCCCCCATAGATGTCTTGTAAGTATCGAAGCGGTCGAGCGCGACCGTTAAAACTGCACGGGAAATACATTTCGATACATTTCCTCCTCCTCGTGCGCCCGATTCGATTGCATCGAGACCACCTCGTGGCCATCCGCGGCGAGAGAATCGTACGTAATTAGTTAATTAAAGTTTCCGCGCTTGTCCCGCTGACGAGAAAATTGCCGCTTTCCGCGGCCACGTCCATTGAATTAGCTCGCGAGAGATAACGTTCAATTTTCGCGGAACGGAACATCATCTCGCGTGTCACGATCTTTCTTTTATCTCCAGTTATCTTTATCTTTAACGAGATATCGAATTTCACGCTCGCGCTCAAAGTAAAGTCGCCCCGGGAGCGCGCTCGTCCAGAAAGTCAACGGTTAACACGCTGTATAAATTTACCTAGCCGTATAATTATACGTTGATACGCTATGGCGGTAATAAGCAAATAGCGAGTCGTTTCGATAGTCGCGAGTGGCGAGGATCGCTAGGAGCGCAACGACGCGGAAGGCAACTCTGGAAATTGCAATTTGTCCGAATAACACGGGCCGCGTATTTCCCACGGAAACACCTCGGCCTGCCGCGCCACGCCATGCCGCGCCACGCAATGGCACAAAGCAAATTTTAGCCGGAAAACTTGCGCGTCAAATGGCTCCCGTTGTGCAATAGGGAGTCGACTGTAACGCCGAACATTGTTTTCCCCGGCTTTCTGTATCCCGAACGGTGCCGAGAGGGAGGCGGAAGGGCTCGTTAAAAATATAATATTAAAGCGGCTCGATGCGCGATACGCGGCATGGCGGCCGCGTACGTAACATCGGGTATCTAGTTACGGATAAAGAAGAAAGTCCGGGCAAACACCCGTAAATACCCGCAATCTCTCTCGAACGTGCGCGGTTTTTCAACATTTTCGTACGCGGGGAAAAGATGTAAACGGAATACAAAAAAAAAAAGACAGAGAGAGCCGAAGGGAGTGACTTCGTTACAGCGATAGATCCGCTAATTGCGACCCGAGCCGCAATTAAGGGCGAAATGACCGGGGTGGAGGGAGGGGGGGAGGCGCGGTACGTATCCGCGCTTGATTATTCTGACAAATCAACGTGAAACCGATGATGTAACGCGGCTGAGGCGCATCGGCGATAAACGTTAGAGAAGCCATTACACCGGAATACAAAATGCAGCCGCATCAAATTTAGATTGCGCCCTGTCTCAGGGGTACCGACCTTTCTGCATCATTTATAACGGATCGATCTCCCGCTCCTCCGCTCCCCCCCCCCCCTTTCCACCCCGCCCACCCTTCTCCGTCCTCCCGTGTCTCGTTCCAGAAGTTCATTAGCTATTCGGAGTTTAAGAGCTCTCGACTACAAGTTTCGTCACTCGTGAATTTTGATTCATTCTATACGCTCGCGCCGCAGCACGGCGACTTTCGCCGTGGGATCTTTATTCACGCGAGAGCATGTAATTTACATGCCTGTTGCGCTAATGCTGTAAATATCTCACCTCGAGCAACGTTAAACAAACGCAATTCGGGGCAAGTCGAGAACGCGAGAGCGTCGGTTACTGCAGTTTCCGTCGTCTATCCGGTCGCGCTTATCCGCGGCGACGATGAAGACGGAGGGAAACGGTGACGTGGGCTCGATATAATCGTCGATAATACACACACCGGGAGAAGAATACGACAAATATGTGATGCGTCTTGTAGGATGGCCCGAGCTTAATCGCCCGTTACGCTCACGGAACGGCCATGCGGGTCGATGATTTACCGCTCACGGGGCGAAATCCTAACGTACGGGGCTCGCGGAATCGCCGCGGCAAATCCGGCGATCGATGCTTTCGAGCCCGCATTCAATGGCGAACGAAATTAGCGAGCGCGGCATTGACAACCGCTTTGTTCGTCTGTCACGCGAGCGTTCCCGCGATAAATTTGCGCCGGCAACCGTAGCGTTTCGTGTAAATGCCAATCAGCTGCATGATTATCGGTCACGAGCCACCGCGGTGGCCCGGAATTGTTTCGACTCCCTTCGGCTCGAGTTTTGCGCCGGGAAAAGTGAGGCCCGGCGCGCGCGTTGAACAACCCACCGCCCACTCGACGCGTATCCTCCTCCCGATTCTTTTCCGATAAATCGGCCCTTACGCCGAGGTCTGAGTAATCGCCCGTAAATTGGACGGGAGATATCCGTGCACCGTGTCCGCGTGCGCAGCGCACCGTAATAATCGGCGATCACGGCGAGACTTAATCATTCCTACCGCGCCTCGGCGAAGAAAGAATAGATTAGAGACGTCGTCCGTAACTAACGGCGCGGTTGCGTGCCGGGAGGAGGGAAAAAACCGCGGTGGAGAAACGCGATTGCCCTTTGGGAACGGCGGCGAGAGGCAGCTTTCGGAACAGGGCTCGCCGAGTGCCTCGAACACTCCGGCGAGACGGGCGTTTCTCGATGTCTGCCGCAGGTGGACGTCACCCCGCTCCACCATGAGGCCGGCCGAGGGTGACGCGTCGGATTGCATTCTGGTGGTCGGCGTGTCCAGGTCGAAGATGGCCGTCGCTTTTCTATCGGTCGCCCTGCTGTCTCTCTTCCTCACCTTCCACATACTCTACGACAGCGCCGTTTACAGCCTCCACGCGGTCTCCGCCGTCGAGGGACGCACGGTCGAGCTGGTCTCTCAGGTACGTGAGTTCTCCCTGTCTGTCTGTCGTAACGAGAGTGCATGCGTCGCGGATGTCCCCGAGGGCGGCTGGACGACTGGTGGCATGTACGGTGGATTTACGGCAGGTACACGCGACACCGCCTCTCCTCTTCACCAACTCCAAGGTTCACTTCCCGCGCACGAATCGCCATCTCCCCCAGGCCATCATAATCGGCGTACGCAAATGCGGCACGCGGGCGTTGCTGGAGATGCTGTTCCTGCACCCGCAGATACAGAAGGCGGCCGGCGAGGTCCACTTCTTTGACCGTGACGACAACTACGGCAAGGGTCTGGAGTGGTACCGGCGCAAGATGCCGTACTCGTTCAAAGGGCAGATCACCATCGAGAAGAGCCCGAGCTACTTCGTGACGCCCGAGGTGCCCGAGAGGATCCGCGCGATGAACGGCAGCGTCAAGTTGCTGCTGATCGTGCGGGAGCCGGTCACTCGGGCGATATCGGATTACACGCAATTGCGCACGCACGCCGCGACCGCGTCCACGCTGACTAACGGCACGCCGCAACAGCAGCAGCAGCAGCAGCAACAGCAACAACAGCAACAACAGCAGCAGCAGCAAGTGGCGCGTACATTCGAGGAGCTTGTTATGCGACCCGACGGTACCATCAACGAGTCCTACAGACCGGTCGCCATCTCCCTCTATCACACCTATATGCATCGCTGGCTGGAAGTGTTCCCCAGGGAGCAGATCCTCATAGTGAACGGCGATCAATTGATCGAGGATCCGGTACCGCAGCTGCGCCGAATCGAGAATTTTCTCGGGCTGGAGCCGCGCATCGGTCGGCACAACTTCTATTTCAACCACACCAAGGGCTTCTACTGCCTGAGGAACGAGACCTCGGAGAAGTGTCTGAAGGAGAGCAAGGGGAGGCGTCATCCGCGCGTCAGTCCGATGGTCGTGACGAAGCTGCGCAAGTTCTTCAACGAACACAATCAACGCTTCTACGAGCTCGTCGGGGAGGATCTCGGCTGGCCGGAGGAATAACCATCGTGGAAAGTACCGACTCGTTCGTTACGCTACGCGAGTCGCGTGTGCATCCAGCGGCGGGCATGATCGTTGAAGTAAAATCAAATACCCCATCGTCTTCTCTGCGCCGAAGAAGATGATATCGCTGCCGATCGCCGATGGAATTTACCGCGGGTCGAACAACTGACGTCGTCGACCGAGACTCTCCGGGATTACATCGTTTCGATCAGCGATACTCCTCGGGGACGCCGGCAAGGATAAGTAATTTATTATTGATTATCGATTCCTTTATTCTCGACAAAGTGGCGTAACGCGCTGATGTTTCACGACGACAGTACCGGCGCCGTTATCAGCGGATGCGTGCGAGACCGAGGCGTCTTGTTATTGCACTGTCAAACATGTGAGCGTATACAAAACATGCAAACACACGAATACACGCGTACGCACACACACACACACGTGCAGACAGAGAGACACAGACACAAAAGTTACAATAACGCCGGCCAAAATAAAATAGAGACGCGGATCTGCGAGACGAGCGCGATCGCCTCGTGGATTCACGCGGCATGCGGATCACATTGGTCCGTGACTTTACATATCAATTTTACATATCGATAGTTTACATATCAATAGGTTAACTAGTTCGTATGACAAAGATTGAATATTTTTATAATCCACATTGGAAGTTGTTATATCGCTTATGTCGTTAAGGATATTACGTAACGCGAAGGACTCGCGCGCGATCATGAAGATCGAGAGTTTTATTTATTGCGCCCCCGCGCATGCACGACCCGTCGCCACAAGGTACAGAGGGCTGGTGTAATTATGCCAGACCCCCGCTCTTTTCGGAGAGAAACCGACAGAGAGAGAGAGAGAGAGAGAGAGAGAAAGAGAGAATCAGAATCAGAATCATTATTTATTACACACTCTGGGACAAGTCCCCTAAAGAAAGGGGGGAGGAGAGAGAGAGTCGAAATATTTTCTTTCCCGTTTTTCTCCGAGAGTTTATCTCTTCTCACTTTCTCCCTCTCCTTCTCCCCCGCAGAAATGCGCGAGCGTTCTTCTCCATCGTTCTCTGACACTGGATATTGGCGCAAGCGTTCCTCTGGGAACACGAAGAGAGAAGTAGGGTGGAATCCGACCAACCGCGAATAAACTCGTCAGCGGCAGCATAGACGGAACGGTTCGCCGGGGCTTTATCGTAGAAATCTTTATAATCGATTATTCTCCAAATCTCCCGATGGAGCCCGAACAATATAACGTTCTTTAGATGTAATAAATTTCTACGCGGAAAGACCGAGTACTACATGTGTAGCGAGAGCGACGCGACAACGGAGACTCCATCACGAATTCATCGCGACGGTACGAAAAGCACTCCCTTTGTCGTTGAAAGAGTTCTTAATTATTACGCGGACGATTAATAATTCGGCCCGACGTCGGCGAGGATGATGGACGTCGCGAGACGCGGGTAGCTGGGTGCCCTTTACAATCTGCTCGCGGGATTTCGAGAGGCACGTTAAACTTTACAACGACGAATCATCGCGACTAATACCCGAACACAATTTTGCAGACATTTTTATATTGTTTTAAAAAAAAACAAGGAGAGAAAAATGAAAGGAAAACTTCTCCGTGAATGTGGATCACGGCTGACGAGGATCACTGACGATCGGAGACGATTAACAAGGTGTATCTGTTATTGGGAACGCGGGAGAAAACAAGGGTAATGAAAGAAGCGAGTCGCACGACAGCTTGCTGCTTAGCGACAGGCTCTTCTCTCTCGGAAAGGATGCGGCGCCATAAATAATCCGCTTTGCGGCGCAAGTGAGTCGTGCATGCGCGGCAAAGTGCACCGTGCGTTAATTCGTGCGATAAATACCGATCGCCTAGGCTCCGTTCCAGCGGCCGGAGATCTCGGGAATCGGAGTGACGGCGTTCCGAGGCCAAGTGCGTCAATTCTCTTTTGCGCCGCGATTATTTCCAACGAGCAAGTACACCCATTATCCGGTATCTTCGCAATTAGAACGAACGGTGCCATCGACTTGGAAGCTTAGGGCAAAAAAAGGGGGGCAGATTGCGCCGATCGAGTCATTTCCAATAAAAAAAAAGGAGAGAGCGCGTATCCTTGGTACTGGACGTACTTTCGTTGATCCATTTTCACCGGTTGCGATTGTTTAGAGGTCGAGGACCCCGCTTTGCGCGCATCGACTCCGTTAATTACCTCATCCGCTGCTGCAATTTGCCTGCCGTCACGACGTTACGCGCGGCTCGATCATTGGTTTCGTGAAAGCCGCCACGAGTCGACGAGATTTCGGCGACGACAATTTCGTGCAATTCGGCTCAAAGAGAGCTCACGCGCGTCTCGTCGTCGATTCTCCTTTCCGCGTACGCGCTTTGATCAAATATTTGCTCGGGGACTCGGTTGCATTCGTGTAAGTTGTAATTTCCGCAAACAACCTTTGATTCTCGTCGGATTACCTCGCCGGTACGGTTTTTCGAGCGCTCGAGAGATGTGAATCTCCCGCGATTAATACACAGGCGGCGCGGGTTCCCCTTTCCGTAAGGTTATCTCTCCCGCTTCGCTTTCTCGAACAGTTGTTGAATCGATATTGAAAGTCGGGACGAGCGCGAGCAATTGTTATCGCGGGTAAATTTTCAATTAGCAGATTAATACGCGGCGTGGCCGAGAACGAATTCGAAAAGCGTCACGCCATCGGTCTCCGCGTCCTCGCGTCCCGCGGACGAATTTTTAATTCCCGCCTTGACTGATGACCAAGCGGGTTTATTCGGCGCACGCGTGACACGCGATCGCTTCTCTCGGCTCCGCTTTGAAAACGCACGGAGAAAAAAAATGCCGCACACGTCGCTCGATATTTCTCCTCGCGAGCGAGCGAAGGGATCGCGTTACGACTTCCGACCTCCGCGCCCAATTAGGGAACTCGCGGAGTTCCCTCTTTACGAAAGTCACGGCACGGCTCGATAAGCTAAGAAGCGTAGCCGGTCACGTTAACCATCTCGCACGCTCGGTTACGCTCATTTAAACAGCCGGGCACGGAATATTTTTCATTGAATTTCGCATTCTCTAACGAGCGATAGTTTTCTCTCCCCCTCCCCCCCTCCCGAGATTGCGGCGCCGCGCCGTTTAATCGCCGGTATTTTCAACTTTTTCGTCCCGAGGAGCGAGCGCCGGAGAAGGAGATCTCTCGAGTCGAGAATTGGCACGGCGCGGCTACGTTTTTCAATTATAATAGTGTCCGGGGCCACGATGGGGAATCGCCGCGAGAGAGCGAAAGCCTTTCGCTCTCTCGCGGCGACGAGTATTAAATTACCGCGACTTTAATAAATCCCCCGCCAAATCGTCTATCCGTCGGCCGTCGTTAAAATTACGGCGCGAAAAAATATCGTCTCCGGAGCGGGAGCAAGATAAATATTGTTCCTTTCCGTCTCACTCGTTACTGCAGGAGAACGAGCGCAAGTTTCATTCTCCCCGGCGCGCATCGCGCGCGATCACGATATCCTCCCTCGGCCTCCGCGGCCTCCCCGGCCTCGGCCGTTCACCCCGACTTTAGCGGCGTTAACAACCCCCCTCCTCCTCCTCCTCCTCAGTCCCCGTCCCTTTCTCTCGGGGTGAGGTGCTCTTTTTCGTCCCTCCCCCCTCTTTTTTCCCCCCGTTCCCCGATGTCCGGTCAATCTACGGAAAATTCACGCGGTCCGTTTGCACGGGAGGGAGGGAAGGGGAGGGGTGTCGCGAAAAAAAAATGGTTCAACGCCCAAGTTGACGCGGGAGCCCTCTGTAAATATGCCATTTCGTCCGCGCCTTCCGGATGAAATATGAAACGGCAGGAACGGCAGCCGCGGATACAGATGTCGAATGTGTAATGTACCTTGTTACGTATACACCAGAGGTGTCCGGCGACCTATAAAATGTAGCACACACATCGCGCTGAAAGTAGAAATTGAATTGGGGTCTTTCGGAAACAGCTGCCCGTGCCCGGATAACCCCTTTGCCTTGACTGATCGATATTGCTCGCCCATTCACGTGGACGTCCAGCGAAATGCACGCGGATCCCGCGGATCCCTCTTGTCCCTTTCGTCTCCATTACGGATGCACCCTCCGCGCGCGGCGCGGCGCGGGCCTGGAGATGAATATGTATTTTCTGGCGAGCGTGGCACGCGAGAGCGCTGAAACTTATAAAGGCGGGGGGGTATCCCGACCATTTCCCAAACTATTTCCTCGCCTCTCTCGTGCAATAACGATCCCGTGTCCGAGATATTTAGCCTTGAAAATGACGGACGATCACTCGCGGGATTCTTGTCGTCGGAAAAATGCATCGAAATTCCCCGAGTATTTTTCGCGTACCGGCCGATCCATCTCGCAACCTCTCTTTTAAATATTTTCCGGTCTCTTCCTCTCCATTAATACTGATACCCGGACAATGAAACAGCCCGGCGCGGTCGCGAGAGACGGTTCTTTTCGCGTGTGATGAATATGCATTTTATGCAAAATGCATCCGCGTTCGCCGACTTAAGTCGAGGAAGAAGAAGCGCCGGACTACGAGGCTTCGCAGGAAGGAAGGCTTCGCCTAACGATCCCGCGAAGTCGCCGCGAGTAAAGGAATTATACGGAATTATACGCGGCGGGGGTGTGGATTCTGATCTACGCGAATCCGAATATTCAATACGGGGGTCACCGACCCCCGCGGGGCGACTCCCGGCGAAGTTGGCCAGGAGATAGGAAAGTGTACAACGTATCAGGAAAATCACGTAGGGCTAGACAAGAACGAGGGGAGGACGGGGGGTGGAAAAATGTCACCCCCGGGGGAAGAAATTTTATGGCGTATCGACTGCGCGGAGTATCTCAGAGCCACGTTACTACCGGCATGATAAAATTCAAGATCGATTCTCCCCTTAATCGCGTATTACTATGCGATACCCGACGCGAACGGGCGAGTTACCCCGATCTCAGGGGATAATAATAACGCGGTAATCAACCCTCGAGAAGTTTCGCGGAATGGCGGCTTAATAATGCACGCGAAATGCTCCCGGAGTTCACGTGTCGAAACCAATGACGAAATTGAATCGCGGCATTCGCGACCGTTTTGCTAAATCCGTGACAGGAGACGTCTGTTTTTTTTTTTTGCCACTTTAGCCTCTTACCTCGCTTTTAATTACCCAAAGCGGTAAGTGTTAATCTGCCAAAATGATTTCGACTACTACTTTCTGTCGCACGTTTCGTTGCTTTGTTTTCTTTTAATATTTATCACTCTATGATAACACGCGATATTATATTTGAATGAATACTGTTCGTAATAACAATATCTCGATGCATATTTTTTTCGCGTTTCTACAGTACGACGGAAGTGAAAATGGTGAAGCGCGGCGCGAAGCGCTATGGAAAAAAAGCGAAAAAGCGTGAAAATATCGCTGTTACCACGCGAAAATCTAATTAATTGCCCGTGCAAACTTTTTCACGCTTTAGATTCCGGAACCTTTAAAATTTTTCGACCCGACATCACTGGTCCGAAACGCGGACACAAAAGTCATTCGTTTGCGCATTTCGCGCGACTGCGCTTACCGGAAATACTCTGGCAGAACGATTACTCGAACGCTTTAAAATTCAAATTTTAGTGTTGAGCGAGTTTTTAGAACATATAAATCCTTATTCGCGTTGTACACAGGTACCGAGTAAACGAGACGTTTCTAGACGCCGCGTGGACGAGCGTTCGAAGGGTCGAGCCGTGGTGCCCTTCGTTAAATAATCGATGAGACCCAGCTTGATCTTCGTTTGTCTTCAACTCGTATCCTTCATTGAACGCGACGATCAGTTTTCCTCCCCGCCGTTACACCGATCTTTCGTTGCTAAAAATAGCGTTGGAGCTAAGTCCGGCAAATTGCCATCTATAAGTAACGTCGCATAATTAAGAAGTTCGTTTTCTGAAAAAGATGTATTTTTGTCCGACCCGTCCTTACTCGTACTTACTCGAAGTTTATCGTTTCCAACAAATAATAAACTTGCAGTACCAAGATACACGTGCCTCTCCTAAAATACTCGGCGTCTCTGAAAGTAAAAAGTATCAAGGGGACTAATCGAGTGAAAGGCGTCAAGTTATATAAATATAATGATGAAATTTCTGGAGAAAATTCAAGTTAGATGCGGTGTACGTTTTTCGAACAATGTTCTCGTGGAGATTGACGCGCGGGCACAGGCCTTCGAATCTCCCGAAGCACGAAGGGGAGGTTAGACTATGGGAAGATGAAGGAAACCAAGACATTAACGAGTCAACAAGGAGGGTGCGTGCGATTATCTCTTTTTTGGGGGGGAGCACGCATCCTCGCGCTCGGAGCGTTAATCGTTAAAAGGAAGATAACATATCATACTTAATAAGGGTAGAATAAGAAAGTCGCTCAACGATCCTTGGATCATTCGAATCTATACTTCGGCAAATCCTCGGATCATTGAATACTCGAATTACCGGATCCTTGGACCGTCGGATCCACGGATCATCGAATTCGCGAATCGTTCCTTCGCGTCGCGCTCGCCACGGTGCTTGTGCGTGGTCAAGTTCATTCTCGTCGAGTTCAACTCTCGCGAAATTGCGCGCACAGCAGCATAATTCGATGCGGTGCAAAGTCCATCCAATAATACTCGATCGCATCACTTCGTAAAGGTACAAAAATTCAATTTATGACTCAATCGCTGAGACACTCGATTCGAAAATGAAAAGGTTACAAGGCGACTAAGTCGGAGGTGAAAAGTACAAAAGGCACAAGCACAAGCAGCAACCTACCAACGGAAGAAATTCGCCCGGGAAGCGTGGAATCTATGAATGGCGGGACATGTAGTGGGTCTAGGATACAATGTGTACACGCGCGAGTTGCAACCTCGCGCTTGCTTTTCCGTTCCTTCTTATCGGCTTTCGCGAGTCAACGGCGAGCGGTTGGAGTACACTCTCCACCACGGGATATCTCAACGAGAGTGTCTCCGTCCCGCCCCCTTGCCGACCGGCCCATCCCTCTTTTCCCTTCACCTTCGTCGTCTGTGTCGCGCACCCCAGGGGAGAGCACTGATTTATTTAAAAGACGAAGTCGACGCGAAGCTGGCGCCCGGCCTCGTCACCGCCGGCGGGAGTCGCTCGATTCCCGTATCTCGCTTCTCGTACCTCGATTTTTATTTTAAATTTCCGTTCCCCGCCGGGTGCCGGCGCTGCCGATTTATTTTTCCGAGTCATTCACAGCGACTTGCCACGTTTGGTATCCGCTAAATTTACCGCGTAGTAAACTCGAACTAGAACTTTGCATTTCCAATCCGAGCCCGCTACGGCTAAATATACCATCCGCTTTCATAATTAAATTCGCAGTCAAACTTTGTCGGCAAGGATTTAGGACTATCTCCAACCGACGTCTTTAATTCTCAGCTGCTTGTAACTCGAGCTTTATCAATACCTCGACTTTTAACCGACCACCATTCCCCCCCCCCCTCCCCTCCCCGCGCGTATCTGCGCGATATCTCGCGTTTCCAGGATATCTCGCGAGGTAATCCTCGGAGGAAATTCCTCCGATCAGAAACAAATTGCGGAAGAGCATACGTATGTGTGTGTATGCTCTCTTTGTTCGCCGTCTGTAAGATTCCGTTTTGTACCACGGGACAACGTGGCGGGCGCAATCGGCGCTCTGTCGACGAAAATATCAGATATCTTATCGAGATGACAGCTTCCTCGACGGCTCGTACGCCGTTGTTGTGTCTTACAAGCTGCTCGTCCCGCAAGACACTTGATACTGCTCGCGCGAAGAATGCTAAATCAGAGGCGCACAAACTAATGCGCATTCAGCTCGGCGTAGACCAAATTGTTGCTATTGTTTTTCCAAGCGTACACTGCAAAACATGTCCACTCTAAATTTCGCGAAATTATAACGGTGACCTTTTTCCACTTTAAGTAAACGTGAAATTACAGCGGAATTGCGTATACAGGACATTGTCCTAATAATAATGTCCTGTATACATGAATAGAAGGGAAATTTACAGTATATACAGTATATACATATATAATCATTCCCGGTCCTACTTATATAAAGGATTTTATATAATGAAAAAAGTGTCGTATTAAGAATTTCGCCAGTCATACTTAAATCAAACGGACATAGGAGAAATCCGTTATAAAATCTAACGGAAATATAATCGTCCATTATACTTAAAACGGATATGTTTTGCAGTGTATAAGTAGAATTAAGTTAGGAGACGTTTCTACAAAGCGCACGCCTGCACGTCTTCATTTGATCGAAGAAATGTATAAATATTGTTACGTTGTAAGACAAGTCGTGTTACTTTACAGTCGTTACCTCTCTCCCTGTGATGTCGAATTAGCGTGTACCGTAACTTTCGTTCCCGCAATGTTGAGTGCCATGCGTTATTACTATCACTGCGATCTATTTTTATAAGGGTAAAATTTGAAACGTCGAGAGACGATTGATTATCGGGCAAACTGGGCAAATGCGACAGGTGGGGCCAGTATCCCTCTTTCGAGAAAGGGGAGGAAAGGGCGTTAAGAATTTAGTTTCTCTTACTCGATCGCTCATTTATTTAAATGTTTTACCGTGTCACCTGCGATTTGTCTCGGGATTTCCGAAAGATCCTTGTCCGGGTGACAAAAGCGAGTTTGCGCGCCGCTGGTACAGGCGTAAGGATAGAGCGTAAGCTAGATTTACAAAACCGTAGCCGTACGTTAAGCAATAAGCCACGCTAAAAGGAGAAAAAAAAACGATACATATCAACAATTGCCTGTACGGTGTTAAACGATGTCGTTTCTCGACACGTGCACCGGATTAAGCGAAAACAAAAAAAAAGAGTGTCACAAAAGCGAGGTGTCCGTGCAGGCCCGATAACGATCGAGAAGCAATCGCACGAGCTGTGAGGGAGGGGTATCAAAATGTATCGCAAGATTTCTGAAAGTGTAGATATCCGTATATTTGTGTATAGATGCGCTGCAAATCCAAGTGCGTTACTTTTACACGCACGTGCGTGCGATTTGATTTCCTCGCGGTTCAAAAAGATTATTTTCAAACGGCGGGAAATTATGTAAATGACGTTCATCAAGTCGCGTGTCGATTTTAAACGGGAAGAATCGTGCGAGAAGCAAATTTCACGTCTCACCAAATTACACATATACATATGCGTGTGCAAATGTAACGCACGTGGATTTGCAGTGTGCGGCGGGGCTGAGACTAGAATATATCGTCGATCCTTATGGCGAGCATAATCAAGCTGAACATTCCGTGAATATTTGGGGAACGTGTATCCGTATTCTCTCTCGTTCGCGATGGGAATGTTTATATATATATATATATATATGTATCGGGATTCGCGTTCAAAGGGCAAAAAGCTTCCTGTTGAAAAGTTTTCGGTGGTTTTTTGCCCCGGGAAAACACACGGGAAGTGCGCGGAACAGTGGGGGGGGGGGTGAGGGGCAAGGGGGAAGGAGAAACGTGAGAGGATTGTTCCGTAAAGCGGCGGTCTCCCCTTCGGGAGAGCGTGAATTAATACACGCGGAAATATCGATCGACCCGAGGCCGTGGCGCGCGTACGGCAAAAAAAAAGCGCCAGGTCGTTCCGCGAAAAAGAAGGAGAGGAAACGGGGGTGAAGACGGGGGGGGGGAGGAAGCGGGAGACCACTTCTCGCGGCCGTGTCCGTCTGGCGCGGTTTTCCCCGGGAGAGTAGCCTCCGGCGGAATACAAAAGGCTTTTGCGCAGCGACCCGGCAAAAATCGCGGGCACACGCCTAATCGGCCGAGGGTTGATTCGATAAAACGCGGAAACGGCACGACGCGGAATTTGCATTCGCGGAGTTGGGGAGGGAGGGGGGGGGAGAGAAAAACGGGGGCTCGGCCGGCGGGACCGGCCAGGGGGTGGAGGGGTGCGCGAGGATCGTTTCGAATTTTATTCTTATTTCGGGAAAAATTCCCCGATCGCTTCTCGATCGCGAAGGGCGACGCGCCGACCACCTTAGGGGTCGCATCAAACTAACGCTATAGTTCAAAACGAGTACATATCACTAGTTGTTAACGGCGCATCGTAAATAGGTTTAATGATGATTAATAATTAATTTATTATACATTTACCCGTATCTTATATATATATAATCTTATATATATATAATATACATATAAAAGAAAATTGATATATGTATGTATATATATACAATATCTATATACATATGTGTACACGCGTACATATATACACAAGTTAGCGCGTAAGTTTTAATAAAACAGTAGAGAGAAACGACAGAGGGAACTTGACGATTATTCGTCGCGAAGTGTGCCGGCATGTACGAACGGTGAAAAAATACGGACACACAAAAGCTATTTCCATCGATATCGAAACCAGACAGTATTTTAAATGAGCGTAGATAATGATCGTTAGTCACGTATGTCTATTGCGTACCGTCTAACCGTCGGTAATCAGTTTCTGTTCGAGGCTTTATCTTTTTTTTTCGCCACGACTGCAACGGTATTTTTTTCGAAAAAAAAACAGTTGCCTAAATACGTCACTGTGCTCCAACTTGAAAAATTGGCAAAAACCTGGTGTGACCTGTGTCATTTTTTTTGTCGTTGTCGGGTGATTTACCGTTTGGAGAACGAAAATTTAAAACAAACCTTAACGTTACATCATACAAAGCCATCAATTAAGCACAACTGCGCTTCCGCAATTAAATTTTTATAACGACTTGTTGTTATACACTGAAATCTATCGAAACTGCACGTATACATTTATTACGCGCGATTAATTTAACGCCGAAAGAAAAAAAAGTCCTTCGATTAAATGTCAGAAAGCAACTCTTCCTCTCGTCGACTTTACTCTAGATCGAAAGTGACACGAAGTACTCGTATTCAGACACGCACACTCACACATGCGCGCACTCACGTTCACGCACACACATACGTACACTCACACGCGACACGTTTAATAAAACAAAAAAAAATTATCGTTATCGATGTCTACGATAAATTGTTAAACCGACGCGGCGCCGAGTCTCTCAGAATCGTCGCCGCACGGGCCGATTTGTAATTAACGTTTAACGTTTAATATTTATTATTTTTTTGTAATAGCATATACCGTGTATGTGTTTCCCGTCGTGATTACCCTTGCCATTTCCTCTTTCCTCTTTCCTCGTACTTCGATAGGAACTTTAAGAATAACGAATTCTCGTGTCGCTTCTCACTCTCTCGTACCTTTTAAACGCCGGGCGCTCCGTTACGCGCCCGGCGTATCTAATTAATTAATTCCCTAATACGTTGTACTTGGTCCGATTGTTTAACTGCATATACGAGCTAAAGTCGATTCTGGCCGTTGTTATCTGTGAGAGACTGTGAGACACCTACTCCGCTTCTCATGTCGGGTGACGCCGCGACGTCTCGCCCCGTGATATCGAGTGTCTTTCGCCCGTTGCCGCGGTATTGCGGCGTAACGAAACAAACAACGAACGATATAAAATTCAGCGTGGGAATTAGTCGAAAGGGGAAAGAAGATACGAGAAAAATTTATAAACGGGAAAACGGCCGAGCTGCCGACAGCCTCTGGCATACCGCAGGATTTTTACATCGGGCGGAGACATTAAAATGCATTTATTGGAAAATCCCTCTATCGACGCGGAGCAATTAATCTCGGTGAAATTATAAAAATAAAGATATCGTATTTTAATTAAATTACGAAAATCGTCGCGGAAACTGTAATAATTGGATTATCTCGAACACTCGGGGGCCGAGATTCCGCGACGCAGCCGTCGAATTAACCCCTTCCGCTCGATACTACGATTGTCCGGCAACTTTGCATATATACGCGATGGTCGGATACGCGAAAGAAACGTATCGTCGACCAAGGACTGGCTGTACAATAGACGCAGCGAGTCGCAAGCCGCAAGACATCGGCCAATGACAGTCGATTATTATTGTCATATTTGACTGTGATTGGTCAATTTCTTGCGACTTACGACTTGCTGCGTCTATTGTAGATTCAGCTTAACAGCTTCTTAAAAACGCGACGATACTTTCACTCGGGACTCTCGGTACACGGAAATGTCGTTTAAATCGTCAGCTCAAGTAACTAAATGTAAATTTTATCGCGGGGGTAACACGATCGCTGAAAAGATGCTCGCGTAAGGTAAACTTTTAAAGTATATAGATCTATTAAATATGCAATTAGATCGCAGAATTTCTCACCGACGGAAATTATGTGATCCAAATTTGTGTGCGCGTTACGTGTTTGATAGTAAATTTTACATCGTAGGATATTTACATGACATTGTTACGTAGGGTAACGTAGTTTTAGGTAGGCAAATTGTTGTGTGATTGAAATAATTTCTATCTTCGCATTCCTTTTTTCGTATCTGAGATCTCGATGAAAGAGTTTCGTTGCACCGAGAGTCGCGCTGTACGTTAACACGCGTTGCCGTCGGGAAGGGGTTAAAGGGATCAAAGAGCTCGTAGCTTAACCATGTGTACACACACGCTTCTATGCACATTATTGTGAATTGTAATGATTATTGTAAATCGCGGACAGACGTTATTAAAACGCTGGAATGAAATTCATGGCATTTCCTCGACCAATATGAGTTAATAGCTGGCCTGTTACTTTTAGCGCGTAACGCGTCCAGCGGCGAGCGTGATTATTAAAAAACAATTTTTCTTTTAACGTATTACATTTATATGTTAAATACATTAATGTTATACATTATATTATACGCAATGTATGTTGCGTATATTTTTTGTTGAATTGATTGCATTTCAACGAGGCTGCGTTAAATATAAGCATCAATTTATGAAAGGCGATAAAAGGAGTAAAAAATGTACGCGAGAATACCAGATTTGTGTAAAAATTAATTTTAACTCCTGCATTAATCTTTTTCCTATTGCAATGCAATATCGTTTAAAAAGTAACAACGGGACGGGAAATTTTTTTAATTATGCCAATAAATTGTGGGAGAACGGCCAAGTTTGACTCGTCCCCCAAGTGCTGGACGCGACATCTAAAAGCGACGGGCGAGCGGAACTCGGCGAAATAATTTACGATTTGCGTACGTCGAGCGGCGACCAACGTCACGTCGTGTAACAAAGAGCAATAATTCTCACCCAGTTGAAGAAAATTCGATCGAGAGCTCTCGCGAGTGATGCGTTTTAAGCGATCCTCGGCGTATCGCGGAGGGATTTTTGCGCAAAAAAACTTCTTACGCTGAGGATTATGTAAAGAAGAAGAAAGATGCGAGCGAGCGAGCGAGCGAGAGAGAGAGAGAGAGAGAGAGAGAGAGAGAGAGAGAGAGCTCGGTCGAATCGAGAGTGAGAGAACAAACATCGAGATATGTATACGTCGCGTCAGAGAGATCGATTTCTGATGAAATGATGCACCGCTTGCATCACTAAAAAAAAGCACACACGAAGGATGCAGCGCTAATCGGAGAGACGATCACGCGCCGTTTCGCTCCACAGCAATACGAGACTCGCGCTCTCCGCGTGGTACAATTTCACGCAATAAAAAGATATAGCATAAACGCGCTCTCCCCCCCCCCCCTCCGGCCACGTGATACACGAGATTCGCAGTTACATATATTACATAACTACGTAATTGCTTGAGAAACGTGCGAACGGCGTGCTCCGGCGCGCGATCGTCTCCATTGATGGCTCATTTCCGGCGTCCTCCGCGCCGGCACGGGGCGAAGTCGTAAATCACACGTTTCTTTTTTTACGGCAACGCTCCGCGAGACGGCCGCGCGGCGGAGGAGGCCGCGTTTCGCCGAATGGGTCGTCATTGTTTAGCGCGGAGGAGAGCATCCCCCCCCCCCCTTGCGTTACATCGCGCGTACTTTTATCCATCGCGTCGGTCATCCCGTAAGCGAACGCGTCTCCATCGCCGTACGTTTTCCGCTTTCGCGGATTATAACGGAGCTGGATCTTCGCTTTCGTTTCTCATCCTAGTCCTCCGTTCCGATCTCGTCCGTTCTACCGTGCCCGCAAGGAGGTGAGGAGAATCAAACGCAATCTCGCACGAGAGATTGCTCCTGGATGTATTTCGATGAAAAAATAAATTTAAAAGTCATTTTCGACGCGACGTATATCGATTACGGCGAGGCAGCTCGGAAGTGTTGCGAGATAAGGCGTTTTAAGTCTTACGGGATGACGAATAGTTACTTTTCTTCTTTTTCCCTTGAACCACGATAAAGCTTCGAGCTTCGCCCGGTATACCGATGGATTATCGAGCCCGAATGACGTGGAGGAGTCGAGCGTCGTGGCACTGGAGACGGTAATTACACCAAGGTTTCATCAACGACTCGACGGTTAATTTTAAAACCTTTTGTATGTTTATATGCAGTTAAATAATGTGTACATAATTATGTAATTCTGTGTCGTAAAAAGAAAATTTAAACCGATCGTAAATACCTACACGTACCTCGTTAGCGGAAAGCATGTGCTTCGAATTATCCTTGTAATTTCGTAAGGTGATTAAACGGACCTTTGAAAGATCCTTGTTGTGTCGTTGATTGCTGTGTCTGTACACCTAAGGGCAACTTCGGCAAACTCCGATTAACTTAATCGGCGATTAATTCAGCCGACCGAGTTGCTTAAGCAAAATTTCGAACTTTGTAATTCGTTATCTTCAATCTAACTTTCTCTTTCATATTCCTAATTCAATCTCTCATTTTTTTCATGCCGGGTAACAAAACTCAATAATCTTATCCACGGTAACAGAATAGTACAGAGATTGCGTGACAAATTAATTGGCGATTAATTCGATCGACAGAATTGCTTAAAGCAAAATTTCCAACTATATCATATTTCTTTCTGGTCTTTTTCCTATATATTAAACAACACAAAATTAATAAATATGTATTAATAAAATAGCACACATCATTTGATAAATCAAGCGGCAAAATCAAAACAAAATGTCCAATTGTACATAATTCGTCAATAATTCTTTTCTTTCCTCTGTCTTCTCTTATCATATATAAAACAGAAAATTAATTTCGTCTATAGTCACAGAATAACAAGTGTTATTTCTCTCAACTAATATATGATTAATCGTCGAATTAATTTCAACAAAATTATTCCTTCTCTCTCTCTCTCTCTCTCTTTCGTACGTTAATCGACAAAAGGTCCCATATACAGTAACAAAAAGGTGTTTCTTAACAAGTCGTGGATTAAATTGATCGGAGTTTGAGGCCATCCTAAAAACATGAATCCGTTCTCGCGACGCTTCCTTTTCTCGTAGTTCGTGACACGACGATAACGGATGTCATTAAATATTCGTCGAAGATTCCGTTCAGCGATCAAAGCGAATTTCCATACTCTCGCGAGTAACGATACCTCGCGTAATCGTCGTGTCGCAACGAAATTCGGTTGAACGAATTTCGCGGCGCCCCCGCGCGCTGAGCATGCGCCCGTTGAAGTCTCTACGGGGAAGCATGGCCGCCGCGTATCGCGCGGGCGAGCCCGCCGGGCAGCGAACGGTACACGCGGCTCCATCTGGCGGCAACTCTCGCAACCCCGTAGCGAATCGGCCGACTCCGTCGGTAATACGGGCCGCCGCGTTTACCGACGGCGACGTAGCGCGCCGTGAGTAGCGTCGCGATTCATTCACCGTCCGTATCACTCGATGCCCGCTCGCCCATCGGGCTTCTTTCCGTGCCTATGCCGTTGAATTTGGCGGTTAAATTTTCAAAGCCCATGTGACGGATAACCTGCAATGGTCTGACAGATTGTTTTACGATGCTGGGCACCGCCGGAATAACCGCCGTACACGTTAAGAAACTTGGTAAGGAGCGAGAGAGGACAATTGGTCATTCGGGAAATTTAATACGAACGCACACTTACTGCGCGTTTTCCCCCTTTACCTTGGCATTTCCTTCTTCAGGCCACACCATCGACGAGATACGACTGCGAGCTCTGGATAATGTTATTTCCAAGTACGATTTAGGTTTCGCGTGTGATTGCGATGCCGTCAGGAAGGAGATAATCCAGAAGCTGTTTAATTGGTTCTCTTTCGAGACTGCACCACAGCCGGAGAAAGCACTGAATTTCTTGTTGCGACTGTTAAAGGTATTTAAGCTCTCGACAAATTTTCAGTTTGAAAGCAGCCCTATACTTCTCTCATTAAGATCCCGAGCTAATTGAGCTCCAGATGAAATATTCTCGGTACAGTAAAATCTACTTTGAATTGCGTTTTAGGTTTTAGTAAAATACTTCTTAGTCTGCTACGCAGATAACTAATTGTATTTTAATTAATGTACAATCTTTACTCGAAGGTAGATGCAAAGAGTTACTTGAATGCATTCGGCAAGCTAAAGTTCCAAAATGAGCTTTACGAATTGAGGAGGAAGCTCTCCTCCGAATGGTATGCAAAATTGGATGAGATTGAAGAAGCAGTTCTGCATCTAGAAAGGAATCGAGTAAATAAATCAAACATACATTAAAATATAGTGATAATTGTATATTAGTATCCATTATAGAAACAAAGAAATAACTGTAGTCACCTTGCAGGATGCTACGGTGTGGTCAGAGTCTGATAAATGTCGAATACAAACACAAGATCGTGTTAGGTACACGAATAACAACTGCGAGAGGGAAGACTACAACGATGAGAATGATATTTTCAATCTCCCATCTATCTTGGACAAGTAAGAATTGACGCGAATAGAACCGTAGCAAAGTTAAATAGTATATTATTAAGTATGCATTATAGAAGGATCAGTGACGGCTGAATATGTCGAGACTCTGGGTTCATTGTTTCTCAATTAACGTATATGTATAGAGGCAAGTCCGCTATTATGAGATAATGGAGTCTCTGCTAATTTAATAGGCATCATCTGTTGGTTCCACCATGAATTTATTGCCCTTGGAATAAAATCTGTTTAGTAAAAAATTGATTGTTAGATCGTGTAATCGGTGCGAAAGAAGATTTGTGATTGAATTTGGACGTTGGAAACCTGCTGTCTCATTAGAATCCTGTCGCATAATAGAGGACATTCCTCTATGTATATAAATTGTTTTTAGTACTACACCATTTGACGTAACGCTGGAACATGAGAACGGTACGCGAGTCTCCAAAACGGTAGAAGGTGGTATCAAATGGCTAGTAATGCCGTGGCAGCCGCTGGTTACGTCGGACAGAGGAGTGCTCACGGCAGTTGAAGAAGCTCTTCATAACGCGGTCGACATTAATCATATACTGCACACATGTCAGTTTATAACCAACGTTATGATGCAGGACTTTCCAGCAGAAGTTTTCCTTCAGCGTCCGGCAATAATTACGGTAAATATCTCTTAATAAATTATGTGTATGTATAGATATGTGTTATTTTAAAAATGAAAAGTTAATAAAGCACGCACACGTAAACTGTTACAGATACTTCATGGTCTTCTCAAATCGAGCACCAACATGTCGGAAACTCATGTCGCGTGTATAGTTCCGACTGTGTTAAAGACATTGCGTAAACTAACGCGTTCTCTGAGGTTCCGCATTTATTACTACTGCGAGCCGTGTGTGGCGAATAAGAAGCAAAAGGTAATAATATTTTACCTGTTTGATACAAGAGACTGTACAGCATCTTTTTATATTTAACAATATAATTTATTTCACTCTATTTGTACTATTTTTTTGACATAGTTACTGGGCGGCAAGTTAGACAGTAACGTTTACACATCCTCGGAAGGTGGTGACGGTCCGGATAGTGGTGTACCCGAAGCAAACTATCAAGCATATCAATCGGCAGTGCGTAGAGATTAATTTCAATTTCTCGTCAAGTATATCTCACTCTCGAGCTCTTTTTTTATTGCATAATATTCTTTTTAGGGGACCAGCGATAGGAGTCAGAGTGTCAGCGAAAATGTTGACGATTCTGTCCTACAATTGCAGCAGATGCTTCTGCCGGTTTATTGTATAGAATCCTTGAAGCACGTTCTCACCCAATTAAGCATTCCTATCGATTCCATATTTCCTCTACGAAACATCAAATACGTCACAGATCTGACGCACGAATTAGTGCAGCTGTTGACAATTTGTGTAATGCCGAATATCTGGCTCTGCAACGACGGTATGGCAACGAAGATAAACGATGACCTGAAAGCTCTGTTGAATTTAATGGGGGAAGTGATGGAATACTTTGGAAGCTGTAGCAATGTAGATTACTTGAGGATAACGTACTTGTACCTTACTACCATTATTACGAGGTTGTTGAGCAGTATCGTGCCATTAGAGCTGGCGGACGCTGTCATACCGAATGCTTTGAAGGCATCGATAACAAGTGCTGTAATGGACGCACCGATATATCTATTGTACCCAGCGTTGCACTCTATACTTTTAGAATATGCTCGCGTAAGTGATACAACTCTTTTCTTTTTTTTTCTCTTCGATGTCGCCAATTATCCATCGCTAATACAATCTTCTTCATTTACAGCAATTTCAAGGTGCTAATCAGACAGCATTGATAAAACTATTCGACGAGACCAGAGCCGTTGCAAAGTCCATGCAGTCAGCTATCTGTGTGTTAAAAAATTTATCGGAGCAATCGCCTTCGGAAACTTTGAGAATGTTACACGCATCCAAATTGAGCTTATCGTACCATAAGAACTTAACTGTCGTTAAAATGGCTGTAAAATTTTTACAAGATAATCCGAGGTATTCTTTCAATGATGAGGATCGTGCACTAGCAACGAAACTGACATTGAACCTATTAGCAAACGCAGACGTGGACGTCCGATATACCACATATGTCGAATGCTACACCCTGGTCAAGAATATTCTAGGAGTAGAATACAATAAACTGTCGTGGGAAAATCTGACGTTCCTGCTTGAACCAAGTGTCTTGACAGAAATTATTTCTTATGGCGCAACTAGCGAGGATAGCAGAGTAATAAACAAATTGGTTTAATCACATTCTATGTGGCCACTTGCTGCAAAATTATAGTGCAGTTTTAGATTTTACAATTTAATTTAATTTCAATTTAACAGATAAACGAGATGTCGAGAGACATATTAGTATTTATACTGAAAGGAAAGATACAAATGGGCGAAACTGGATGGTTGAGAGCTTTGGAAGCTCTCGTTCCCGTACTGTACCTTTTGCAGTGTCATGCTGATACACATACACCCTTGGGACAATGTATAACTAAAATGTTTGATCCCGATATTTCCAACAATATACAGTTGCCTTTTCTCGAGGTAATGTAACTTGATTGCAGACATCTCTTCGTGGTTATTTGTTATGTACTACATAACTCGCACTTTCAGGTGATAAAGGGCAATTTAAGATTTCTCTATTCACCAGATAGCGATATCCGGGAAGAAGCGTTATGTCGGTTAATCTGGCTCCTTGGGAAGGAAAAGGATTCTGTCCAGAAATTGCCACGTTTGTCGTCTTTACACGGCTTGCCTCTTAGCTCACTCTGCATATTTGAACGTAAAAACTTCGTTAAGCGATCAGAAGGCAATTATCAGGTTACATATTTGCATTCAGAATATTTAAGAACCTCTTATAGTCTTGACTAATTATTTGGCAGAGAATCGTCCTTCGTGTATTTTAAATTATTAAGATTAATAAATTAAAGTTAAAAGTAAAGTGCTATTTTAGAAATGTACATAATGTATATACCATTTTCGACACAATTCACAAAAATATCTTGTTTGCAGAGGAGCAATATGTTATCTGTGCTGGAAATGTTGACCGAACCAAATGTCGATCCGAAAATTCGAAAATCTGCATTAGTACAAATTAGCGTGATGCTTTCCGACACTTCGTTGCATAAATTGTTCATTAATCAAGGTGGACTGCCCTTGATTTTGGATATTTTCAATAAAGCTCTGGTAAGTTACCATATACTTGATAAAAAGGAATATTACATATATGTTTCTTATCTGATTTATATTAAATATTTTTAGGTAGAGAAGGATTATGTAAATTATCCAGATTCTGTAATACCGATAATCAGCATATTAAAGTTACTCGCATTTTTTGAATGCACCATACGACACGAGTTATCTCTCAGCTCTAATGTTCTTTTTAGTATCGTAAGAAGTACGTATATTTTATCATAATTTTTTAAATTCGTGTATGTGTTTTTCAAAATTTAATTGAAACATCTAGTTTTACTGATATTTTGATGTTATAATTTATAAATGTATTGCTAATTGCATAAAATCTCGTTTTAGGTCTCTTTTTGTTTCCAAACAACGAATGTATAAAATCTGATGGCGCGCAACTATTATGCTTACTACTCTACAGCGAATATATCATAAGAGTTAACGAAAAAGATGTGGAAAACAACATTGCGTCACATATCTCGTTGCCATATATTGTGACAAACATGAAATTACCGTTTGTGTGCAGATCTCATTGGAAAACGAGTATACACAGGCGATCTGACATATCATGTAAGTAATAGTAATTAAAAAATGTTTCTGGAAGAGGCTATACAACTGATCCTGTACGATTTCGAGTTACAGAATTAACGAAAAGTTCCTTATTTTATAATTTGTAGTAATTCATGGCAGCAATCCAATAGTTTTAACGTTCATTAGGCAGTATTGGACCTGGGAATCGAACGGTGGCGTAAACGTGTTGTGGAAATGCTTAAATGACTTGAAGGATTCTGAAATTGCGCAAAAATTGATTATTCTAGAAAAGGACCTTCTTTCTTTACAATGCAGTTTTCCACAGTATTGTTGTCAACAGCAACTCTACAACATTCAAAATTCTACTATGCACTATAACGTTATATGCGCGCTGGATTACCTCACAATGTAAGTCATTGTTAAGTTATTAAGTAGCTAATAATTTTTTTATTATTACTATTTATTTTAACATATCAACCTTAAGCGCATACCAAACACATGTGACAGCATATTGTCTGTTATCTGCTATAATTATTTTATTTCTCAGGTATCTGAAATTTTACAAAGTGCTGCAACGTAACGATGAAAAGGATATCGAGTCACTGCCATGGGAACAAACGTTCGAGCGATTTTTATTATCACATCCCACGAGTAAAGAGGACTGCGACTTATTCGTGGACGTTCTAATCTTTTTACAATTGTACTTAAATATTGCAAAGAAGGGTAAGAGATGACTCGGATAGCAAATTCCGAGAGTATACTTGTTTTTCTCAAATACGAAATATATTAAGGTCCCTTCCCGTTTCTCAGGAAAATGTTCGTGGATTAGTAGGATTATGAAAAACATGACGAGATTGTTGGCAGATTTATTTAAAAACTTAGAAGTTGACAATCAGAATGTACATCAATCTATATTGAAATTGGTACGAACGTGTTCAGCGATCGAAAAAATGCAGAAATCTAACGACGAACCTAAGAACACTTGGATTCGATTTGTGGAGTTCGTTGTTTCAACGTTATGTTTCGGAGATCAACAGCATTTCTACAATCTCGGTATTAATATTTGTTAAATGTATTTAAATATTTTTTAACGATATCTAATGATATTTAATGATACCAATCTTTATTTTAGAATATTTATTTCGTAAAGTTTTATACTGTAAATGTCCTTCCTTTTCTTTTTTAGCATATCTCGATTGGTTGTTGACGTGTTTGACGTATCTGATCGGGCAATGCGAATGGGGAAAGCATAAGAATCTGCTGTTGTCTCTTTGCAACACACTTATCGAACCTATTGTGTCCTTTCATGGTGCTGGTACTGTTAGTTTTATGGGTTTATCGATAACAAGAAACTCGATAATATGTCTTAATCACTTGTTGCATCAAATGCAAATCAATTTTAATAAAAGTGTGAGTATCTCTAATTAAATAGCGTTTTAAGAACAATATGTACGAATTATTATTATTGCAAATTAATGGATCAATTTCATAATTTGGATTTTGTATTAATTGTTGATCCCAACTCAAGCGAATAATATAATTGTCGTATTGTTTTAGTCGTGGATAGTATTTTGGTGCGAGGAGGACCGCTCGTTAAATTGGCTACCAATGTTGTGGCAAAATAGAGATCCTTTGGTTCGCGCTTCGGCTTTACAATTATTGGCAGGTCTGATGAACACAGTTCATACTGCGTCGCAGCTCTTCAACGCAATCGCCATGGCACCGAGCGATTTGTGTCACACGTTGCTCCAGTGCATCACGAGCGGAGACGAATCTTGTTTAGTGAGAGAACAAGCGTGTATCGCGTTTTGCAACATGCTCAAAAACTGCAACTTTATGACTGTTCAATGTGTAAGTGCGAAAGCACGATATGTCATTAGAGCGAAAACGTCGAGAAAGCTCAGTCTTAAAATATTTTAAAAATATTTTAATTAATACAATGTTATGTAAAACATACCCGTATTTTTTTTACATTTCTAAATTGCTGAAATACACCCCAAAGTTAAGCAACGTACATACTTTAAGAAATAATCTTTTCGCACAGGATGATTCTTTACAACCTCAAGCTGTTCTGATGCATGTCGAGCAATGCAATATCTATCATGAGATCAGCGTTTTGTGTTCCAATATCTATACGTCGACTACTTTAGATGCGGAACAGTCAGAATCTCAAGGAAACGACAGCAAAGCAACCATCGTACAAAGTTTGCAATCTAGTTGCATTTCATTGGTACCGCGCACCGTATCGCACTTGTACAATTGTCAGGATGAATTACAACTTTGTAATTATAACATTTAACTAATTATTTAACTAAATTATATCATTTAACTACTATAACCTTTTATTTTATACAATTAGGTTTATATTTAAATCTTTGTTTCTCTCACAGTTTCCGGCAGAGTTTCGGAAATAACAGATGTGGACAATCCTTTGCAGTCAATAGCAACGCCTTCGCTTATTACAGCTGCTTGTAACTTGTTGAACAATTTAATATTCATCGGACAACACGAGGTGGTTCGGCAAGTCTATGAATATTCCATCGACAAGTATTTATTCGGGTACGTATATAGAAGATCGCTAGATTATTTTCCTTCACTTACATCATCTCATTTGATCTCTCATTTTAAAGGTGTCTGACCGAGATCCCGAAGGATATCAGAAGCAGGAAGAGCCTGAGTCATTATTCTGACACACTGGAAATGTACATCTCCATCTGTACAGTCTTAACAAATTGCATCGCGCATAGCAACGAGTATGCAGCCGTCGTACTTTTTTCGGCAGACTCGCTTTATATTCTATTTTGTTTCTTAAATATCGACTTATACCGTATGTACTTTAACATTTATTCAACGCAAATCTATAATCGAATTTTTAAACAATTATTTCGTATCTTTAATTCGTACGTTAATTTCTTTTAACTTAGAGTCTACTGAATCGCGCCTGATATATCTGCGCAACAGACTTTGGACGGAGATCTATAACTTCGTGGCAGTGCTCACGTTAACGGAGGATCAACATTTCGAAGCCATTCAGAGCGCGTTAGAATTATGCGGGCCTGAAACGGTCATGGCTTCCGTTTGTTTCGCGATAAAAGACTCTATGACAGATCTGAGAATGAGCGCCATTAGTTTCTTAGCTTTCCTGCTGTCCCACGAGATTCAGAGAGATTCCCTGGGAAGAAGTGACACCTCTTTATTGCAAACCGTGCTCGACACTAATGTGGCACACGTCTCGATTGAGAGCAAGGACGGCAGTTTGCGAGACGTCATATCGAACGTTAACAAATTGTCTATAAGAAACGCGAACGTGCATTCCAGAAAATCAAACGAAAGCGAAAGGGATTTGCTTACGAAAGACGACCAGCTACCGAATCAGGGACAAACTACTATAGGAGGCGAATTATGTGGACTATTACTGCATCTTTTCATCGCTCACAGTTACGCGAAATCCAAAAAGAGCAGTAAACAATCGCAGGACAAAGATCTTATCGTAGGCGCCCTTGCTAATCTACTGTGCGTGTCAAAGAAGGCAAAGCAAACGGCGCTACGGGGCAGTCTTCCCGAGACCGCGTTGATGATCTTAAAAGAATTGTACGTCAAGCTGAATCTTCAACCGTTTGAACTTTACAAAAAGCAAGCGGAGAAAAAGGCAGGAAAAGACTTTAATCATGAAATTTCGACCATAATTTCCTGCACGAATTTGTAATCTGTTTTTCTTTTGTTGCATAGACTCATCCTTTGTTGCACGATGTGAATTGTACCTTCATACTACTGATAAACTTCATGTACGGAGACGTGCGTGTCAAGGAAAGTCTGACGAAGAAGGGCTTGGCGGACGTGGTGCACAAGTTGTGGGCTTGGATAGCGTTGAATAAAACGGTGTCGACGACTGCTTTAAAATTGCTGGCGACATTCACAACAAAGTGTAATGCTGGTAAGATTACGTTGAAAAGCGTAACATTCAGTTACTATTTACAAGAATCGATATGCAAAGATGTACAATTTCTCAAGTTTGGAACAATATGCAATCCTTCTAAATTAATTGCATTTTAATTTTACCGTATTTTTAGCCGCCCAGTCCTTAACATTAACGACGATATTACCGGGGAGTGGATTGAGGAAAACGCCAAATACGCTTGCGTTGATACACGTTGTCATACAAGTAACATGCAAAGAGATCGAGAGAGCCGGCCAAATTTTCGATAATCACAAGATGCACTTTGCCTTTCACATTCTGCGAAATGCGGTGCACGTTCACGAGTGTAGAGTCTGCATTTCGAAGGTAATTAAATCCTCTCCTCATTATTACAGAATGGAAGTAATGAGACTTGATAGTACAAAGCGTATGCTATTTTCCAACTGATTAATTAACTACGAATTAATTGTTTATTTTGCAGAGTAATCTTCTTCAGCTTTTCACAAAGATTCATCCCACCATTACTAAAAGGATAAAGCCGTGGCCGTTGGTGGAGATATATTGTCTGGAATTTTTAATAGATTTTACTTATTACGAGGAAGGACAGTTATGCGTACCAAAGGTAAGATAGAAACGTGTATCACGGTTACTCGCGATAATTGTATGGTAATATTTTTAGGCCACTGATGCTCTGGACGTTTTGATGCACTTGGCCAAATGTTCTTCGTCATCGAGCAAAGTTCTCGCAATATCGATATTGCGCAATTTAGCGTTCAACGTAACAAACAGGCCTCGGCTTCTTAGTTCAGGTAAATAAACGAGTGCAAACCTAGGAAAGTTGCAGTAACTTATTAATGTATCGTGTATAAATTTTAAGAAGGATGCGGTAATTTATATTTACATCACAAATCGTACTGAACGTTTGCTATTTTTCAGTGGATTTTATCAATCTGCTGCACGACGTCTTCAAGAATGGATCGCCGTGCGAGATCAATCTAGTTGGATCCATGCTGTGGTCTCTGATCAGCAACAACCAAAAGGGAAAGCTTATCGCGCGAAGCGCCGGGTTCTCGCAAAGCATTCGGGAGGCCCTCGGCAGATTTACGTTGTCGAGTATCGACGCCAGTAAACAGGAGCGAGAACTAGTCAGGGTTCTGCAATACGTGCTCACCATTCTCAGTCCGGTCGAAGTGAAGAACAGTGGCGTGCAACCTAGTTGATACCTCGACGAATGACCAAATGTTGTACATACTTATTTCCGAACAACGTTAGCTTGTAAAATAATTCAATTATATTTTTTATATATGGAATATTGTATAGTTACATTGGAGTGTGCGTTTTTAAATGCTGCGCTAATGCAAATTGTCAGTGTAGATACACACATGTTTTTGGATAAATATTTAACGTCATTATATTGCTAATGAAGTTTAATTGGATTATTCAGTGGAAACGCAGCCTAACGAGGGCCTCACCTAGTGCAGCCTAGCGGTCATCGAACGTCAGCTTTAATGGAAATAATAGATACCCGCTAGAAATAAGATAATCCGCCTCCGTTGTCGAGTTTTGGGCCGGTATTCATAGTCAGATATTATATTCAAGACAGTCTGAAGATCATCTTTAGATACTCCGTAGTCAATGCAATGCTCCATACAGCATCTTTCGATAAATTCAAGACGGTCTTGAATATAAGATCTGACCATGAATACCGGACTTTAAGTACAAGACCTCTTGCATATGTTTATAGACCTATGCAAGTTTCTCTGGATAGATTCTCGTTCTTTTCTCCACTCCAGATATTCGCTGCCAGGAGTCTTAGCGTAACATTTTAGTGACATTTATAAAATATGCGATATTTTTCAAGAATAAGACCCCAATCCTGGAAATAGACAATATCGCTCGCTCGCGATATTGTCAGTTCTCTCGACGGGGTTGCTCTTCTTCGGGAAGGTATAAAATTTACGTTGGTCCATAGGCGATTCCTTTTGAGCGGTTACAGGCGTTTCGTTCTGGCTTGAACACTGATTGGCCGTAAATGCCGTCTTCTTGTACGTGTGGTATTTGTTGGTCGGAAAAACGTCGGTCTCATCCTTGTTGCAGGCCACGCGAATGTTCTTTCTTGTGTCTCTCACGCCGGGATGATCGCTAGGGATAAGATTGTACGTGGAGTCCAGCTTGCGCTCGCTGCTCTGATGAATCTCCGCCAGGAGTTCCCGCCTCAACGACGCGGGATACCACAGTTGGATGCGGTTGATCCGGAGGCTTCGTGACGAGTTTCGGCGTTGTACTCGGCATGTTTGGATTCTTCGGCGTGGATTGGTTACACATAGGCACCTAAAAAGATACATCTAGGGCGTTCGACTTCGCGTGTACCTCGCGCGTGAGAAACTCAACGGGATTTCGTCTCGTTCGGCAGAACGTTACATTCAAGTCGACGGTAATATTCTGCCGGACGAGATTTCAATCCATTGCGAGCTTACGCGCGAGGTACACGCGAAGGCTAACGCCCTAGATGTATCTTTCAAGGTGCCTATGACAGGACTCAGCACGTGCTCCGACAGCAGTGGTTCTAACTCGTGCGCCAAGCGAACGACGAATGCCGAGCATTTATAAATTTGGGCGAGCCCGAGTTCAGCGATCTGTTGATGAACGTATCACAAGCCGTCCGTTCTGTGTACATCCATTATCGCATCTATAATTAATACCACTTTATTGTTTCCCCTTAGGGTTACAGGGCGTTTTTGAAGGAACGTGCCCAAACGTTTAACTTTTAACACCGCTCTCTATATCCACTTTGCTATGTGGCGATCGAACGTGAAACCCAACAATTGTTTTGTTTGGTTTTGAACCCGGAACTTCGGATTACCAGACCAGCGCACGATCCTCTGCGCCACGATCACCGCTGATTATCGCATCTATAAACAAGTCTATGTATATTTAGTAAAAACGGTAATACTGAAGGAGAGCCTCTCTCACTCCCCGTTTGTGATGAAAATTCACAGGATCGTGTATTTTGGTCTGTAAAACACGAATCTGCAAGTTAAAATCGTCGCTTGGCAAAAATTAAATGTAAAGAAAAGATTATTTACTAAAAGCATCGAGGTATATAACTTATTTTTGCATTTTTTCCAAGTGCTTTATTCTTTTCAAGGCCTGAAAATAATTTACATTCCGTGACGCTATGGACAGAGAGAAACCTGAGAGCGGCCACGCCGGCGTTTTACTTGATATCCCTCAGGTATTCCTGCATGTTCATGGTCCCACCTGTTGCCAAACACTCTTTGTAGAAAGAACACAAATCAGTTTTAATGTCTATTACAGGACAAGTGTTATGCTCAATGAGAGAATTCCTAGAGAACTGCTGCAGTCTTTAAATTAGCTAAACATTTCAAAGGGGACAATTGTTGACTCCTAAAAGAATCATTGAAGTCCAGAGCTCGAAATGAGGTTATCCCCCGCGGAGGCCCCCGAGAGATTTCGTAATTGTTGCGCACTAAGGCGATCGATCTCGCTCGAAGCTGGCCCGCACTCGAGACGACCGTCCTCGGCGGCGGAAGAATTGATTGTCGAATTCCGGCCTGAGAATCGAATTGCGCAGGTAGACCTTCGGCGAGTCGCGTCCGTACAAAATATTTCTCAGATCCCGCCGTACATTTGCGTTCCGGGCGCATCGCACGTTTATTATACGCAAATCGCGATGAAGTGCACGAAACACTCGTCGCGCATGGGCCCGTCCTAGGAGCGACTCCGATCAAGTGCAGGTTCATCAGCTGAAGAGTTTATCAGCTGATACGGCGGTTTGCACTTTGCACCCGTTTTATCGTATGTCACCGTGTTTTTTTCGCGTGGTTCTCATGACTCATCGTTGAAATTTTGCCTTCTCCAGGACCAAGTCGAGGACGGGCGGCGATTGACGCGTAAAAAATGTCGCTCTCCAAGCCAACCAGTCTCGCGTACAGCCTCATCGGCGCGTACCTAGAACGGCTCTACAGCAGCCCTGTGAGGACGAAAGCTATAACGAGGTAACCGACGCGGCGGGATCCCGCCGCGATTATGTCCACGGAGGTATACGTGACTAAGCATGCGTTATGTCACAAAGAGCAAACGTAACGACAATGTAATTCACGCGATTAAACGTAGTGGACATGATTAAATAGAAACGGTCATTCTCCCTTGGAGAATGCTGGGCGGACGTCTCACCAATTTGACCACTTGCTCTGCAAACGGACACCTGCTTAGCGCTAAATCACCAAGTAAAGACTGTCAGTATAGTCTTGTTTAATAGGCAGACGTTAGAAGAGTTCAGGTACAAGTTAAATTCTGGCTAGTGAATCGCTTCTAATTAAATTACAGCCAGTTCTGGCCGAATACGAAATTACTTGTGTGATAATTAAATATTTGTATATACACGTATGCTAAAAAATATCTTAAACGCGTGTATCCAACAAGGATAGATGCAACTTGCAAGGTGCCAAGCAACAGAATCTATCGGTGAAGGGATACGGTGGCATAGTTGACTGAAAACCGAACGGAATCTGCCATCGAAGCCATTTGAATGATATGTTCCGTTGAAATAGTTGCGAAATGACATATTTCGCTCGGTTTTTGCTGCATCAATCTATCACACCTTGTTTGTCGTCGACACAACAAGTTTAATGTGAATCCGGCAAACTGCCACTAATATTTTGCTAGACATGCATTTATGTAAAATGTTCCAATGTTTACAAGCCAGGCTTGTACGTTCGACGTTGAACTGGGTGACAGAAACGTGAAAATTGTCATTGTTTTCAGTTGCATTATCGCAGCCCTTGGAAATGTGGCGTCTCAGAAACTGTCTGGCGCCAAGCAGCTTAACGAGGACAGTGTCCTGGCCTTCGCTCTATTCGGGTAAGCCGCAGACTGCTGTTTTCACCGCTAACGAAGCCAGAATTCACGCACGAAATGTTTGTTGCAGCCTGCTATTCGGAGGACCGGTACCCCATTACTTTTACACATACGTACGATTGTTCGTGAAGCAACCTCTGGGGATACTTCTGATAGAGAGACTTATCTACACGCCGTGTTTCCAGGCGCTCGCGCTCTACCTGCTCGCCATCTTCGAGGTACGAAGATCGTGGACTTACCAATAAAAGAGATAAAAATGTATTAGTGCGATAAACCAAGCAGTTATTTTGACAAACGATATTAGAAACTAATACCTGTTTGTTACACAAGACTATACTGACGGTCTTCACTTTGTAATTTAGTGCTGAATAGAAGTTTGTTTGCAGGGCAAGTCCCATAACGTGGCGTGTGTTCAGATGCAAAGATTATATTTACCGACGTTGATGGCTAATCTCAAGTATCTAACGCTGTTCCATTATATCAATATAAAATATGTTCCACCAATGGTAACGTAATATGTTTATTATGCTATTTGTCTCACTGCCCAGATAACATGCATGTCTAAAAAACATCTTTAAGATGTCTTTTAGACATACACGTCTAAAAGATATCTTAAAGACGTCTTAAAGAAGTCTTGAAGATGTCTTTTAGACAAGCATGTTATCTGGATATTCCTTTATTTTCAGAGGAGTTCTCTCTCCCTTTCAATTTGTAGACAAAAAATTCTCCCTTGTTTTGGATTGAATTTTCTTCTAAATTTTTTATACCACTCCTTCTGATATTGAAATTGTTTCTAGACAATATTATTTACTGCAAGCAGTCCATGTTTTATTAATTTCTTTTTCTTTCAGTTGAGGGTCTTGATGCTGAACCTCATCGGCTTCGCATGGGTTATCTATTTTGCCAATAAGAGAGCAAAAATTTCAAAAGAGAAGTAGAAGAATACGATAATCTGTTTGTAATCATTGTTATGGACACTTTTTGTAACTAATATGCAATAATATTCTACTTCGTATGCGTGCTAGATGACGCTTTGTGACTATTTCACAAAGCAAGAGCGAGAAGATTGTATAAATAACGTGCAATGAATTTATGCTAACAACACTTGCTTGTACAAAGTGAAATAACATGTTAATAATGCATTCCATCGTTATGACTTGTTAATGTTGGTCAAGAAATGTACAAAACATACTGACGTATTGTAATACATATTGGAATGGTGCTGAATATAAATATATTTTAATAAATACTAAAATATAAATAAGAATGTCGAAGATTTACGTGCGAACCCGCGTTTTCTTTATTTATTTTTATATCGTTCTTACGTAACTATTCTTTGTTAGTTATATCATCATTTTCTTTTCCGATACTGCACTTATCTTTCCGATGAGCTTATTGAATACCGGACGTTTGTTCTTATTTTTATTTATTTTTAATTTTCTATATCAAAGTCTAAGTGTATCAACCGTAATCATTTCCGTATTCGATCATTTTACGATAATATTCGTCTCGAAATATGGAGTAGTTTTCAGAAACAAAATGTGCCGTGTGTTTAAGGTTTTCGATTTAATCACACAACAACAATACAGAGTATATTACAGATATAATATCCGAATTTTCTTTCACTTTAACGAGACAGTAACATTCGATGGCTGTAAATCATAAGCAGATACAGATATCAGGTTTGGGTGTCGCGATGAGTTTCTCTCGATGATGAGCCGATGAAAAGATGAACGCTTTCTCTCATTCTACTCTTCGAAAGTTACTCGAACTTTAAAAGTGATTTCCTCGCGCGTAATTTCTGAAGAATTTATTATCTTGTAGACGTTTTAAGTGATCAGGGTAACAACGGCGTACGAAAGGTATTATTTCCGAGTTCACCCTTTTAACATTCCCATAATTTCGCTGTATATTCGAGTGTATATATAATATATTATATTATACGCGCGGAAACGCGTGAATCTCAGGAAGGGGGCAATCACAATCATTGCACTGGAAAAATTGTAAAATGTATCTGAACTACATTAATGTGGAGCTCCAACAGCGTTGATCGAGCAGTCATTGCGTATGAAATGTAATTTTCGAATATACGATAGTAATAAAAAAAGAAAAGAGTTTAAAATCTTCGTTCTTCATATCTTTGGGAATAAGAAATCAGAATTCTTAATCTCAACCGCGTACAGAATTTAAAAGGATGGATAGGATGAATATTTTTAGATATGCTGAACATTAAATATACGTTTCGTACGCAACGATTTGACATTAGGGGTCGGAGAACTCCTAGTTAGAAAGAAATCTGTCGTTACGAGTACGGGAGCTAGCGCTACGTAATTTCTCTGTCAAGTTGTAAAACAACATGGACTTTCCAAATACGAGCCTTCTTTAATCCTATACATATATCTTCGAGGCTTAACTTCGAGTAGCGCATTGAGACTAACATTCTAATTATGTCTTTTTGGTACGTCGCTGCCTGGCCTAGTTTGGGGCCCTCGCGAGAAATAATCTTCCTGTGACTAGAGTATTTTTATCAAGTTGCGAATATTGCATGTAAAAGAACCGCAGTGTTCTTTACACAGTCGCTAAAACTAAGACTGTTTTATCAAATAAATAAATACGTTATATATAATATAAATAATAAATTTAAAAATCACTAAATTTTGCCTATATGTAATATAATGTACATGTAAATAGTTTAAAGAGGATTTAAACTATTCTAAATGCAGAATTTTATAAAAAAAATATCTATGTACAAAAGAACAAATTAATAACATTGCACTAAAAAGTCATGAATATGTAAATTGAATCCGTAAGATCCGTAGATGAATCTAAGGAGTGATACAGCGTGATTTGGAAAGCAATTGCGCAAATAAACGCCTAGACTACTACAATAAGACTATTACAGTGAACACGAACGAAGGTTGCTTAATTAGCTTTTTCCTTTTCCATTATTGCTTACGTAAGAATTGGCAAAGGAAGATTTGAGAAACGTAAAGATGATTTAACGAAAATTCACAATAGAAATTTACAATTTTAAAGATAGAAGTAGATGAACGTTTTACAAAACCCTCGTGTTTTGCAGAGTGAGAAAGAAAGTTTTCGTATCTGTTATTAAAATATCCGCTTTAATTGTCTTGTACGCTTCTTTCATTCAAATATTCCTTTTAAATGAAATAATCTCTTCTAGGAGTTATAGAGAAATGAAGTTACTGCACCATGTTAATATGAGTCATTTGACTAGAGAAAGAGATAGAGTATAATACATTAAAATCTACATTGATATCCATTTTTCTTCACGATAATCTTCTAGTATCAACAATAATCGCAAAATTGCACTGTAAGTTCGAAGAAAAATTCAAAATAAATATAAAATTGATATTGTAACATCTTTTCTGACAAGATTATTGAAATCGGGGATATACCAACCGATAAAAATTTTCGGTTTTTTTAATATAAATTTTAAATGGTATCTTGTTAAATTATCCAAAAAAACACGTACTCAGATTCATAACTATGCACTATGTTCAGAATGGCACACCCACTCGAAATTCATTTTAATTAAATTGAATTAAATAAATACTGCCTAAATTAATTTAATAAATTAATAATAATATATTATTAATTCTAGTATCAACAGCTGCTTTTGCATCTCTAGATCATTCTGATTGTAAATCGTTACCTTAAATTCATAAAATTAATATAAACAATCTCTTTTCCTACAAACGTAAAAGTATCTGAAAGTTGACTCAGTCTTTCAAAGTTCTTTAGACTGTTGTCGTTTGAATTAATTGATATCGTGTACAATTTATATACAGGGTATCTTGAAATTAACTGTAAGTTAGGACATAGCATTACTTCTCGTGAAATTCGTCGAGTGAACAGCACGAAAAGCCATTAGATTCGAAATTATTGCTAACAAAGATCGATTTTCTTAGTTTCGCAAGAGATAACTTAGCGTGCCTATTTACCTTGGAATACCACGTGCAATCTCTCTCCTTTCGAAAAACTTAACAGGCATTATTAAACCTCCTTTCTGGAACATTCTTCAACTCTCCATGTGATCTGAATTTTCATTTTTAAATTAATATTTACAACTATATAATTCTCTAAATTAATATAGTTTTGAATAAATTTGTTTAAATTAATATCTCGGGGATTAGCGGGATACGGTGGTTTCCTTCGGGTTGTATCGAGCTACGTCGTTTCGAGTCTAGTGTACGAAGAAGGAACGTCGATTTCTGTTTGGAAATTCATATCTTTCTCAACGCGTGTAAGACGGACTACGACTCGCGGTACAGCTGGATCGATGACTCGAAACGGACCAGTTGCTGTGCCTGCTGCTCTCGGAACTACTCGGCGACGAGGGTGGTGTCGGTGTTGGTCGGTGATACGGGATCGGACGTTTCCTCGCGCTAAAACGAATCCCCGTTAGTATAACACAGCACCTTCGTGATGAAGAACACATGTTATTTACAATTGTTAATTTTGAAAGCGCGAGAGATGATAAAATATTCATCATTCTCTTGTTCTGCTTATTAGCAAAGATTGAGTTAATTATGAATAACAATATTAAAAATTAGGGATAACAATGACAGTAATTATCAATGATGTTAATAATAAAGATATAAAACAGTTATTATTATTCGTTAGACATCTCAGACTAATAATATAAATTAGTTCTAAATAGTGATAATTAATAATTAGACATTTAGTTAACAATAATGATTACCAATAGTTGACAATCCTTGATAATCTTACTCGTTAGCATGTAATCTACTGCATCGATTAATTTATATTCCGATAAGAAAAGTTCGCTTATCATTGTAAAAATTAAAACAGATAGCTGAATACACACGCAACAAAAATAAATAAGCAAGCTGCAGAGAAACGAGAACCGTGCAAAATAAAAATGTGACAACTCACCTGTCTGCGAAATGTTTCTCTGGAGAATGCAGTGGCGCGAGAAACACTCAGAAACCGCAAAAATATTAAACTAAGAAAATTATAATTAAGAAATTATAAACCGAGGAAAAAAATTCGCTTTTGCCGGAAAATATTTTTTATTCAGCAATTGACAATAAAATAAAAAGGTATCTTCTACTGCATGTGTAAGACAACAATTTCATTTACAATATTTATAAAGGAAAACATACACGCATGCTATATCTACATGATGTTCGTGGGGCAATTATACAAGTGATTTGATTAGAAAAAAAAGAAAGAGGGAGGAAGAAAAAAGAGATTACATAAATGAAAAATCTAAACATACGAAATAAAAGATAAACGCTAAGTTATTCTAAGAGCGAGATTATTGACAATTACGACTGCTAGTAACATTTGGTCATAGTTTACATGAAACTTTCCTGCTTCCGTCATTACACTTGTTACATTTGAATGAACTCTCGATTACATAGTTATATTGTAATTAACCGTCATATATACTACATACGCCTCTTAACTAGAGCTCCCTAGTACACGTGTAATTCGTGTATTTAACTTATCCGTGTTTTAACCCGTGTACGAATTTAAAGAATCTTCATTTACGTGAATCCGTGAACACGTGAATGTGACACGTGTTCACGAATACCCGTGAACGTGACACATGTACACGAATATTCGTGTATGTGACATGTGTAAACGTGTAGCCGTGATGGTGAGGTACACGTGAATGAAGGTACCTTAAATCCTTGTACACGGATTACGTGTATACGTGAATCTTAAAACACGTGCAATCGAAAACTCTACACTACAACACCTTGACTGTCAAACGTTGATCGAGATATTTTTATTCGCCAGATATAAAAACCATTGAATGATGTTCATTAGTTATTTAGAAGTTAGAAATAATATTAATCAGTACATCCATTCAATACAGAATTAAATTCTATTATAAAGTCTGTGATACCGAGATAATCACGTTGCTTTACCCCTAAGCAATACAAATGAAAGATACTACATTAATTAATACAAAGGCTATTAATTCCGGGCGATCAACGTGTTAATTGCAAGTCTCTAAACTTCTTAAAAGGAAAATTCAATAAGTCTATATATATATATCAGACTTTTATTGCTATATATATAAATATATATATATATATATGCTGTGCGAAGCCATAACTCTATCTTCTATGCCTGTCCTTTGATCTGTCCCTGTAGGACATAATAAATACAATATTAGCACACCGAAAATCGAGATCCTTAATCGTGTTGGCAAACATTATCCGTCTTTCGCGGAAAAGTCTCTTCAATATTTATTTTTACTGCAAACGTTGAACAGTTCTTCATAAAAATTATCTCTTAAGTATTTCTTTTCTTTTTTTAAATAGTGATACGATATATACATAATAACAAAACTCTAATAACAAAAGAAATGTGAACTAAACAAAAGTGTAACTAATAAGAGTGTCAAATTGAAGTCTACAATTACGGTGGTCAACTCGAGGAGCTCAGCGCGCGCGCGCGCGCGCATACAGAGTGCATGGTAAATATATATATGTATACATAAACTACCATGATAATGCAGCGCACATAGTCTCGCGATACCTACCTTGTGATACGCCGTCTGTCCAAGAAGCTGGGTGAACCGTGACGCCGAGGTATCGACGGTGAGCGTGATCTACTGGAGGCAGAGCTGCTGGAGCTGGAGCGGGAGGATCGACTGGAGACGCTGCTCGACGATCTGGATGAACTGGAAAAGCTTCTACCTCGACTGTGCCTGAAAAGACGTAGAGACATGCAAAGCGGGAAGAGCTGAAGAGGGAGAAGACACGCGTAACGTTTTTGTATGATTTCAATAATTTTACCGGAACTGGTCACGGCAAATTACGAGCTCTTACCTAGCGGAGGAACGTGAGCTGCTTCTACTGTGACTGCGCTTGTCCTTGTCCCTGGATATCCTCGATGCCGATCGCGAGCGACTCTTGGATTTCTTCGACAATGAACGGCTGTGTGATCTCTTCTTCGACAACGACCTACTTCTTGACTTTGACAGAGAAGAGCGACTGCGCGACCTCCTCTTCGACAACGATCGATTCCTGCTTCTAGACCGCGACGCGGACTTCTTGCATCTCGAGGGCGATCTCGACGCGCTTGAGCGTTTTGACTCCACCGAGGAAGATCTCGATCGGGGCGAGCGCTGCTGCTTTGTTCTCGCCTTGGGTGACGACTTCTTCGCTCTAGAGGCCGATCTGGAGGTCGATCGTCGTCCGGGCGATGCCGATGACTTCTTGCCTCGCGAACGGGACCGCGACTTCTTGTCCCCGGACGGCGATCTGGAAGACCTCACTTTGTCCGCGACGGACGGCGATCTTGTGCATGATCTCGATGCCGATCTGGAGTACGATTTGCCTTTCTTCGGCGACCTCGAGCGACGATTCGATCTAGCTAACGAAATGTTCAGCAAAGATGGCGGCGAGTCACTGGGCGAACGCAGTTTCATTATCATATTATCCTCTCGAGATATCGCGGTAGGAGAGGCGTCCTTCTTCGAAGGCGGCGAGTCTCTTTTGCCGGTGGAACTCGGCGATCTTGAAAATTGACTGTTTGGCTTAGCCTTCGTGCCAGGAGATGTGGAATCGATCTTGTCGAACAATGGCTGAGGCAACGGCAGCGGTGGCGGTGACTCGCTTGGCGATCTGATCTTAATCGCCGCCTCCTCTCGGGTGAGAGGTAGAGCCGGCGAGGGCGATCTACTGGACACCGGCGACTGAATAACCGGTAGAGCCTGTACAACTGGTTCCTTTGATTTGGATCTATCTCGAATCGGTACAGTTGAATTCTGTGCAATGGTTTTTGGCGGTTCGTTCGGTAGAGCGATATTTAACACATCTTCTCGCCTCTCGATCTTAATCTTCGTAGGACTGATCACCTTCTTCTCTAGCGTCTCCCGCGCCTTCGCTGCCAGGCCGCTCTGCAGTCGTTTTAACGTGTTCAGTTCTATAATCCTTCTCTCTTCGTCTTCCTCCTGCTGTTGCTGCTTGCTGGGCTCGTCGTCAGCCAGATCGGCCTCATCCTCGCTCGACGATCTCAGACTCACCCTAGGCGCGACCGCTATCTGCTGCATTTTCCTGCTTCTCGACGTCGAGCGCGACTTCGCCTTGTCGCCCTTAGTCTTCTTCTTCTGATCCCGTCGCGGCTTCCGATCCTCCAGAATCTCCTTGTAGCGCTCTGGATATTTTCTAAGTGGCGAATAGCTCAAGGTGGAGCGCGATCGGGACCGCCGGGAGCGCTGCTGTCGCCTCGCCGAGCGCGATCTTCGGCGAGAATCGGTCTCCCTACGTCTCACTGGCGGAGACACGGGTCTCCTGCGAGAGGATCCGTAACGATCATACTTGGAGCGGCTTCTGCTTCTGGACATAGAATGCCTACCGTGCTTTCTGGGTGATCTAGAATATCCTCGTCTTCGTTTAGGAGACGGACTCATACGACGTGACCTCGAGTACCTTCTAGGAGATCTTCCTCCTCCTCCTCCTCCTCCTCCTCCACCTCCTCCACCACCTCCACCTCCTCTATCTCTGTCTCTATCATTTTTTTCGCCTCTATCGCCTCTGCTCCTGGAGGATGATTTGTGTCGCCTGTTTGATGATATAGCAGGACTCCTGTTGTGATTTGCCGGCGATTTGTCCCGCTTCTCTGCCACGTTCTTCTTCGGCGAATCTTTCTTCGTTTTAGTAACAGCTGGTAGCGGCGGAGTCTCATTCCGAGATATGGTTGCTCGAGACAATATCTCTCGCTTCGGTGATCGGATCGATCGAGGAGGAAGTGGTTCTCGCGAGATCACGGTACTCTCGGAAACTTCATTTCTCAACGCCTTGTCCACTAGGATGTTTTTCTCATGTTTCACCGATTTTTTCGGTCTTTCCACGGAGCTGTAAGATAAATCCACATCAAATCAGAAATTAAAGAAGAGAATCAAATAACAATTCAAGCAAGTAAATTACTATTCAAAAATTGTTGATTTCCTACCAAGTGTTTGTAAAATAATAATCGTATGCAGAAATTAAAAAAAAAACAAGGGCAATTGACGTACCTGTCCGTGGAGCTGTCAGATGACTGGCGTTTCCGTTTAGCCGAAGTCTTCTTCTTCTAGAAGGAAATCCAACATGGATCAATATCGTTTATTGACTCCAATTAATAAACATCGATCATGCATTTGTCAAGAGTACAATGAAAAAAAATGCAACAAAAAAGGAACGACGTATTTAAAGAACTTTTCCGGAGTCTGCTCCTTTTGGATTTTCTAATCGCCAGTAAAAATGGATAAAGAAAAATAAGAATATAAAATAATTTATTCTAGAATATAAAATATATTATTTTGCACTTCTGGAAAAGGCTACAACTAGAAGAGAGAATATCTGTGTATATTTGTTTATCACATTGAAACCGTTTGCTATTCATTTTCTTCGAAGAGAGAAATCTTCGAGTAATAACAAATAAAGTGGCCAAATAAATCACTGGTTCTTTAAAGTAGAGATTGAACAAAGAGTTTTACAACCCCTTCCTATAAACATTGTAATGAAACAAGTTTGAAAGCTTTAGTTCATACAGAACTGTAATGGAACAAATGAACATTATGTGATTATTACAAATTAAATCTATGCAAAATGATATAATTATTATGTTACAGTAACCATCAAATTAATTATAATTTTTTTCAGATTAAATTACTTTCAAAGTTAAAATAATATGTATATGATTATAAGAATATAATTTAAAAAGTGTTAACTACGAGGTTTGCTTTTCCAGAACGCACATTAAATTGAAAGATTTCCATGGACACAGAGATTTGAAATCCTATTTGCCCTATTCTTTTAATCCTTCTCTTTATATAATCGCGGCAATTCTCTTTCAAGAATATATTCCAATGGGAATCTTTCATTTCAGCACAAGCAGTCTCCGAGATCGGTCTTCCGTAATTAATGTGTAATAGTGCTCGACATACAACGAGTGAGAAATAGAGAGGCTTTTACACAACAGTAAAATTTGTAAAATTCGAAAGTATACGAATACGTATGAATCCACAAAATTAGAAATTACATTGAGTAGCGGCATATCTGGTACTCACTCAGGGAATGTCTCCTGTCAAATGGCGCTGAATAATTACAAACAATACTGAGATTTATACTTTGAAATAATGAACTGTCGAAAAACTGGAAATCAGATGAAAAATCGTATGTACGCAAAATAACAAGCGAACCGGAGAGGATCAGCAAGGAGAAGAAGGAGACGATCATGCTATCCTTTTCGAGACAAGTGGCAAACTCAAGAGAAGTCAGATAAAACAATAGTGATCACCCTGCGTCAACCGGTTAACAAATTCAGAAGAAACAAACGAGAAACTAGAGACGTTGTCATGCACCTACTTTCACGTGCCGAAGTATATATAAATATATATGTAAAAAGAGAGAAACAGAGACAAAAAGAGAACGGGAACTTATGTTTAACTTTCTTCAAAGCGTCGTGCGTACCTCATGCTTGTCCTTTCCCTCGACTTTGAGCTTTTTCTTTCTCTTTTTCTTCTTCTTCTTTGACTCGGCCTCGGACGAGCTACGCAACGTCCATTCGTTATTTACTTTTACCATGTGATTTACGCATTAATTTTATAATCAATTTTAATCAAATGATCTTACATATCTGTACTAAAATAAGTCAATATTTTCTTTTTTTCGTAAAAAAAACCGAGTTAAATTAGTGAAACGTTGTGCAATAGAATATACTTTTATTTTAACAATATTCTTAATCAACATAAAAAAGTATCGTTATTACAATACGATAGATTTAAATAGATAAATTGACTGTCATTATTACTTGCTGTCATCGGAATCCTCGCTTGAGTCGCTGTCGGACGATGTGGCCTCGGTCTTTCTGTGCTTCCTCTCCTTCTTCTTCTTTTTGGACTTTTCTTTCTTCTTGCCGGACTTGGGGGATTCGGATCTATGAAATCGGAGATTGAACGATCGTTACAAGAGTCACGAGGCGGTCGTATCTTTGTTTTTGTCAAACAATATTTAGTCTTATATAACTCTTGCAGTGGGCGTCTTCCTGTCGACAAGTGCATACCTTTGTGCTGACAATATATAAAGAAAGCTGTAGTACACACAATCGGTCGTACGTGAAAAACAATTTTCCGTTCTATCGATATATCAACGTACAATATACACAAGCTATTCGCTTTAGAAATTATAACTTCCCACGATACAGAATTTGGAATACATTCCGCTCGCCGAGGAGGGATAACGATTTCAAGTTTTTAATCTCTTTCGTTAACACACTTTCTCAACGTCGAAGTAACTCGAATAAAAGCTTTATGCGGAGTACTTTCGAAATAATTAGGCGAGCCTTCGAGTGCATCTTGCGTTCGAACAAGATAGAAGTTGACGTCATGTGGCATATTGACATGAACTTTCCGCTCTCGTTTCTGGAGTTTCGTCCAAGTATCTCGAAAGTATTCACGAGATGAATTTTGCATCACATTGCTTAGTCTGGATTATGCAATAACAATGGAAAACAAAGAGGATAACGATGCGTATACAAGTGAGAGATTGTCCACAATATCGCGCGTATCGTAATAATTTAGGCTGACAAACCGACTACATAGCTCGCTTTGAAAGATCTGGTTTTACACTCATCTTCCCGAGGAGGCTCTTCCGACCTCGGGTCGCAACCCACAACCGCGAAAAACCACATCTTTCAACGAAGGTTTACGGAAGACAGGTATACGAAATATATATATAATACATAATATGAGGAGTATTGATATAAATATGGGATTAGCATTACCTTGATAACCATCGATAAGGACGGACTTGTCAGAAAAAAATAGAGAGATGACATTAACAACAAGCTTCATCGATAAACAACAACAGAGAGATAGAAATGTATGATTCTCGTTTTCTGCTTATGTTCATTCGCATTCTTTGCGCAAGTTTCTCTACGTTTTCAACATTTTTAACTTTCTTTCTCTGCGTTTACTGCGAAAACCCGCGTTCTTGTTACTTCGCCAACCCCCGGCAAACGTTTGCCCGTCGTTTGTTACGTTAGAAAATCATAATACGTCTCCATTGTTACAATTCTTATTAACTTTCTTCAACGTCTCTGTGTCTTTTATCAAATTCATTAATATGCCAATCTTCTTTAATACTTTTCACACAAATTATTTTCACAAAAGGGAATTAAGATTGCATGTTTACCGAGAACGATTTATACATTTAATTTCTAATCACAATTCACACAATTTGAATTTTTAATCTGACCGAAACGTAACAAACATTTGCCCGCGGGGAGATATCTATCGCGTGAGAAACAATCCCCCCCCCCCCCCAGAGAAAATCCCACCGTTCTAATCGCGCTCTTTGCACACGGCGCACGACGTTAAGCTCTTATCGAAGAGTGTGTTTCTGTCTTTCTTTTTTTTTTGCAAATTAATCGCGACGACCACACTTACCTACTGCGCCTACTGGGTAGGCACTCAGTCCTCCTCAGTTCTGTTTGAAACAGAGAAAGGTGTACGGGATATGAGACAGTAGGTGGTGAGTCATGAGTTTACAGTTCTGTAAATCCAGCTAAACGCGTAAAAAAAAACGGCAAAAGAGAGAGAGAAAGAGAGATAGAGTACGAGCGTTTGCAAAAAAACGAACAGTCTCGATTAACCGACATGGGAAGAGAAAGAGAAAAAAAGAGAGGAGACTTTCTACTCGGATCTTGGTCGCTTTCTTTTCTCTTTTCTGGGGTGTTCCGGAGGCGTGTGACGGGGCCGGGTGTGCGGTCTTGGAGCCTCGATTCGCATCTTACTCCGAGTCCGATACTTAAAACGAAAGCGAGAGAAAGAAAAAGAGAGAGAAAGAGAGAGAAAGAGAGAGAGATAGAAAGAAAGAGAGAGACAGAAAGAAAGGTCAATCAGTGGGATCGAATCCAGCCTCCATGGAACCGTGCGCGCACCGTTCACGTTATGCTGTACCTTTCCCGCTTGTGCTTCTTGGCCTTCTTCTTCTTGCCCGCGCTGCCGGAACGCTTCCGCTTCTTCTTCTCGCCGGTGGCCGCGGCGGCAACCACTTCCGGTATCGAGGGCAGCGGCGGCGGCGCCGGGCTCGGGGTGCGCACCAGCTCGTAGACCTTGCTCGCGGCGGCGGCGGCGGCCGCAGCGGCCCGCGCCTCCGCCTCGCGCGCGTGCCGCTCCGGGTCTAGGCTGCTGCCCTCCACGAAGAACTCGGAGATGCCGAACGCCTCGCGCAGCTTCGCGTTCTTCTCCTGCTGAGCCTCGGCGATCTGGTGCGTCTCACGCACACTGCAAGCGTAAAAACCCCCCGTTAGCATTCACGAGTGGAGAGAGTTTGCGCAAAATTGTAACAATAAATTAATCGTGTATCACTCGTTGAAACATAGTGGCGTGGAAATATGTCCAACGTTTTCAGTGAACGCGTACGGTGGGACGTTACTCATACCACCTTTAAATTTGTCTAATTTGTATTCCAAATAATTAAAGTAAAACTATTTTTCGCGATAAATTTAAAAATAGGAAATATTTGGACACTAACATCCTGTCACGGCTCTTTAGTCTTTATTCCTTCGAATTGGTGTTTACCACATAAGAGCCTTATGAATTTTATTGATTTGTAAAATGTTTCTTGTTGTAAATGTGCCCCAAAGAGATCTGCGGTTTTCAACCATTTTTAGAAATGTATAAGCCCACCGTTTGAGAGTAAAATCCATCCTAATCGTTGACACAATTGCAATCGCTGACGTATAATTAGTGACAATAATCGACACCGACCGGTTCTATGTTTACAAAGTCCTCGCAGAAGTCGCATTGTGATTAAATATCTCGCAGCTGATTACTCAATTATCGAATCAGACGTCAATCGCGTATAAAAGTCTAACGAGAGTGAACAATCGAGTTTCACGTAATTAGAATTAGTATCTTCGCATTTTCTAGACATTAACGATCATTTTGACCGAAATGTTTCTACATAATATGATTTACTGTACGGTTTACAGAGTCGAATTGGTTAGCTCGACACAACAGAATTGCGATCTTAGGCGCCGTATGTCCGAGCCATGAATCGTCACGGGTAGAACGTGAAATGCAAATGAGCAATTGAATCATATTCAACCGATCCACATGTATTTAACTGTCGTTTTCGCGTTCTCGAAATGTCGCCCCACTGTATCATCTTTGCTACCGACACGGTAACTGATAAGGCACACCCGATGGTTCACGATAACGAGAGTCGCGAGATCCTCCTGAAGGAGATCCTCCGAAGGATGATCTAGATCGCGTACCGCGTCGAGATCTTCACCGTCATCCCTCTAAGAGCGACGACCGCTTCTTCGGCGCTACAGCGGGATGGGGACGTCCGGACTTGGAAAAACACCCTGCGCGACACAACGGCGTCGTCCTTAACGGGCGTCGCGATGCTAATGACATAACACACTGCGGGACGACTAGAATGGCAAGCAGGGGCAGGAATCGCGCGGGTCCTCTCTCTCTCTCTCTCTCTCTCTCTCTCTCTCTCTCCCTCCCTCTCCTTCTCTCTCTCTACTTTTCCTGCGACGGTGAAAAGCGGTGAACCGGGGTCGAGCTGGGGGCGAGAGCCACCCCTGCGCGCCTGCACGCACGGCGCCGGAACCCGGCGGATCAATACAATCCAGCTGTTCTCTTTTCTGGCATCCCCTTTGCGCTGTAGAATCGCCGCCGGCGACTTACACCGAGTCGATCTGCCGCCAGAACGAGGACTCGGACGCGCGTGAAATAAACTGCGAGAAACCGTCTCTCCCTGTTTTCCAGAGATGCCTTCCCGTTATTATTGGGGGATCTTGTATCCTCGTAAAACTAAGCTTCGAATTACCGTTGCCGTCGAGTCTGCTACGATAAATTTCACGCAGGATCAACTCAAGATTTTATGCTTTCGTTATTTATCATCTTCTCTTCCGAAGCTCAGTCAAAATTACTCGCCCTGATATAAAATTACTCTCAGGAGAAATAATCGGAGACGTCGTTTACAGCGAGATAATCTCGCTATGTACTATTTGATACCATCATGTAAACTATTGTAAGCTATTTGACCATAATGTAAACTATACACCGGGGAAATGTGAAAAGTGATATTTATAACACCGTAATACCGATTAAAAATGAGCAAAGATTTGTTATTATAATTAATTCTCATTTCTCTACAAATACGCAATTGTCGTTACACATCTGTGATAGAGGATTTCAGGATCTCTTTTATTTCCACACCCCGGTGTACAGTCGTGAGATTAAACTGGGAGCTGACGCTGACAAAGGGATTCACCTGACGACGGAGCGCATGTTGCTTCGCCGTTCGGCAAGCAGGTGCAGCTGAATGCGCTGGCAACAACAGCAGTGTTGACGCTGCATCTGCAGCAGCTGCTGCTGCTGCTGCTGCTGCTTCCTCTTGCCACCGTTATTGGCCGCCGCGTAGTGCAGTTTGCGTTTGCGCGAGCGCTTCAGCACCTTTTGCCGGTCCAGCAGGAAGTTGCCGCCGCGCCAGAGCGTCTCGAAGAAGGCCCGGCCGTCGGCCGGGCCACGTCCGCGCGCGGGTTTCGCCGGCGACACCGTCGCCGACATTGCCATTCCTCGAAAATCCGGATGCAGCGACGAATAAAGATCCCTCCGAGATCCGCTCCTTCGAGAAATCTCGCTTGACGCGCTCTAACGTAGTACAGAACGATCGTAGAATTGATTGACCTCTAATGATCCGTCCAGTTTCGAGTCGAAAGGTCCCTCCCAGGATTTTGTCGTCTTTTACTCATAACGCTTTTCCTGACCGTAGATTTAGTCTTGATAGATTTTACCTTTTTTTATTTGTAGAAATAAAATTGTTGTTCCTCGTGTTTAGCACGGCACGGTGTAAAATAATTATTAGTCTCTCGTGAAAGGCGAAATTCTGATCGTAGAATTATCGCTGATTGTGCAGACTGGTTATAGATAATCTGCGGCGAAGTTTCTCCTCGACTTCTATCTTCCTCCGATTCTAATGGTCGATAGTTGTCTCAAGCGTGCCTGCGTGCCTCGTTCCTTCACCGTTTCTTATTTTACCACCTAAAATAGAGGAGACGGTGAATAATGTTGGCATGATAATATTAGGCTGCTAATTGAACTCGAGACGCCCCGTCGGTTGGTCCACGTTGCGCAAGTAGCTCCACGGCGCTTTATCCCTTCACGAAGGGAGCAGAAGGGATGAAGCGGAGATACAAGAGAAAGGGAAGATCGCGAGCGAAGATAATAGCTCTCTCTCTCTCCCCCTTCGCGCTTGCCGTCGCTGTTGCTTTTTGTACCCGCTGTCCCGGCTTTTCTAGATAGAACAATCATACGGCGACGGCGAGAATGATGACGACGATTACAATAACGAGTTCCGTCTCTCCCTTTCCTTGCGCGTCGTCCCACTTTGATATTCTTCAAGCGACTCTCATCATCTCATATCCGAGTGTTCCCGACAGCTTCACGATATTACAAATGTTTCCTTTACTTCATATTCCTTATAGACGTCTATTTTTACTTATTATTATGTTTTACTATATTGTTATCGTTACACTTCCTATTACTATCAGGAATAAATTATTATCGTCTATGTATTTTATAATTACTTTATTACTATTATAGTTCGCGCCGCTTGGACCGTTAAACGCCCTTTTTCTTATTCCGTACGTGGAAGAATATATAGCAATATGTAAATCCTCGCGTTGGAGACGTTGCTGTAAGCATTTTAACCGAGTTCAGGAAGACTTCAGATCAGGCACACGATTGTCGCCGTGCTTCTCTCTGTTAAGCCGAAGCAGAACGCTTGCCTTAGCGACGTACCGCCGGCTCGTCGCAGCCGGCGTCTTGGAGACACATGGATTTCGTAGAAAAAACTTTTTACATTTCTTTTTTAAGTGGAGACACGTGAGTCGGAAGATATATCTGCGTCTCTCTTTTGATATTCCTGACGAAGTGAAAATCGCGAGAGGAAGACGGGTGTGCGATACGAAATAAGATCTTTAATAAAGAAACGTTGGAGGAATTTAAGCGCCTCTCTTCCCTTCTCTTCTTTTCTATCGGCCTCTCTTCTTTCCAATTAAGATAGTCGAATTATTTCTACGTCGTGTACATTTCGATGTGCATTGTAAAAATTCGGATTCCAAAGATGCAGATGTCGATCTTCTTCGTTAATAATCCGGTCCCACTTAATAAGTATCTCTTCCCAGAGATTCCTCTTCATCTAAGATTACCAATATGTAATTAATACACGATATACGATATCTTCTCCACGTGCATTTAATATTACGATTTAGCCTGATGAAATATATACGACGAATACGATTTCCTTGAAGCTTTCCTCCCACTCAGGAACACTCAATCGACGTTCGATATCTTATTTTCTATACGTATCTACAGTTACAGTTCGTTCCAGTGAAATGCACGGTTCTTCTGGAGGAAATCTTGCGGATTTTTTCTTTCACTCGTCGACGGGCCGATATGTAGCAGGTAGATCTTCGTGTTTAGGCGTTATATATTCAAATGAAAATCGCGCGATCTTCCTCGCGGATTCCTCTCGCTCGGTTATCACAATCGATATCTTCTGCCGTAAGGTTGAACGGCGCGGAACCGCCGCTTGCTCCCGTGAGACTTTAACGCTAGACTTAAGCTCTACCTCGCGACGCGATAACTCGCGATAACTCTAACTCGAGACTTAGCACTTAGGAACGACCTAGAGGAGCGGGATAGTAAACCGCGCTACCCGATTAAGTTAAGCTAATGGAAGACTTTTTCGTGATTTGTTCCGCGGGGATTCGCGGCCGCGTCACATGGTCCTTCGCTCCGGCGGGGTCAACCCGAGATTAATCCGAGGGGACCCTCGGTGCACCGTCCGTCGGCTGCGCCGTGACGCCGGTCCATCCTCGCACTGAGGAGCCGGAAAAAGCTGCGGGCCACCGGAGAGCGAGAGATGCTGCTGTACCCTCTCTCTCTCTCTCTCCCACTTCTCGTCCTCCACCGCCCTGGATACACCCCCCTGCGTCGCCTCTCACCCTCCCGAGGCGCCGGCGCCATGGGGTACGTCGATATCGCGGATACAACCACCCACCCCTGTCCTCCGTCGGTCCGGAGGTCGCCATGGAGTGCGACGCGTCCCCGCCCTCTGCTCTATCTCGCGTATATCTCGGCCCTAACTCTGGTATCTCTCTCAATACTTTGCAAGAGAGAACGAGTAGAATTTAAATAATTTAAGTTGACGATCGCCAGTAGTGGCGTAACAATCGCAATTCTTGAAAATTATTGGCTCTATTTTCCTGCGTTTGCTTCTCAATTATTATAGATAATACATCTGCAGGACAATAAGACTCTCTTGTATCTTCTCCAAAAAGCGATATCATTCGGACTTAACAGTGTCCATTAACGTCAATCTAATAATAATTGTTTTCTCTACGTCTGTCTCTTATTAATTAATATTCCAGATTGAAGACAATGATACGTGTCACATTGATAAAATGATACACAGTTGGATTTTTATGCCATTGCGTTAAACAATTCCCCTTTGATGTTTTCAAGAACTTCAGTTTCGGTCTGAATATGAAGAACTTTTTGTACGCCTTAAAATATAATAGAAGATATCTAATCTTTTTTAATGTGCCCCAATTTCTCTTTCAGAAACGTTGTCGACCTTAAAACTGTTTCTTTGTATCGTATTTATCATTATGCTTAATTTGCAGTAAAAATCGTACAGTTACTCAAATTTAAACGGCAGCTACGAAATAACCAGGATTTCTGTAAGACGTGTCGCAAACCTTCTGAACGTCTCTTGAGGATTTTCAGGAAGCATACAGATTCTGTAAATATATTTTCTCGCAATATGTCGCACTTGGGAAAACTTTCCTTTAGCGCGGGATCGAATAAAGCCGAGGCAGAGAGATCTCAAGAAGCTCAGACACGTCTTAACGTCATATATGCCAGATTTCACCTGGTCCGCGCGCCGTCAGGATTATCCTGGATTTGGCTGACAGAAATCAATAGAAAGGCGAAAACTCTCTTTCCTTACAATTTTACGCACTTCTTCAAAAATATTCTAAGCCAATCTTTTTCTCAGTTAACAAAATCGTTACATTTACTGTTAAATTTCAGATTGTGTAATTTAATGTCTTATAACATTGGACAATTATATAGCGCTATTAATATACTTACATCTTCTAATTAATGTAATATTTTTTTCTTACTTTCTTACTAATTTACACAAAACGATTACTTATGTAACAGAGCAATTAATTTTCACTTTAACGATACTCGACTTTTTATTTACCCATCTGTTATTCCAATTAATTTGGTCGTTTTATACTTGCTATGCTCCGATTAGTTTATTCCGCATTACATCACGTCTTAGCTAATGTATTTATAATTCGTTGCATAATAACCGTTTTCGAGTTTAAGAAAATAAGAAAAACGAAGGAAACTGGGTGAAATGTACTTACTTAACACGGCCAAATTCATCTTGCGGCGTGGACATCTTGACATCGCTCCCCATTAACAACGATCTGTAGGATTCCACCTTATTCTGTATTTCCTCGATTGTAAATCTGTAATCCACAGCAGAAAAAAACAAGAATGTACCAACTCTCACGCAAGTCTGTTCTGCATTTCTGTATTAACTATTTCAATTACGAATCCATCATTAAAATTGTAATTGCAAAACGTATAAAAATTAAACATCTATATTATATACATTTTTTTATTTATAGTACATGGGTCAGGTTTATATTATACGTTACATAATTTAGATCAGAATCATGTTGGTCTAATTCCCAAGCAGCTTTCGTACTTTCGGACTTAAATTAGATTGTAAGCTGTAATAGGATTTGCCTTGTCCACCTTTGGCTTCAATAGTTGAAACATAATGCAATTATCAACAATTCTGCTGGAAGACTCTACGATTGCATCGCTAACGATTATGTCGGTAATTATCATAGATATTTAAGATATTGGAACAATTATAAGAGCCAAGTCGTAAGATCTTGGTGCAAATTGTGCGTTTGAACGATTTTAAAAAACGCGACTATTAGAACGGAGGAAAAATATCGATATCATTTTAAAGTGTAGAATATTAATGGTGTTAAGTGAAAAAATATAATGTATGAATAATTACCCTTGATCTTCCAAGATGTCGGCCAACTCCGCGCACTTGAGCTCGACTTTTCTCTTTCTGACATGATCCAAAATATCCTTGTTCGGCTGCTTGTTCAGCTGATCGATCTTGGTCTCCTCCGCCTTATAGGCGACCTTGTCCTTGTTCTTACGCACGATCGCCCAGTTTCTCTGAACGTGTCCATTGGTGCCGGAGCCGCGTGGAGTTTGAAGCCCAATGCCATTGTACATCTCGACTCACTTCTGCGAATCAGAGATAAAGAAGCTTGCTCCAGTTAGGAGATCGACAAATCAAATATCTGACGGTGAAATAACGTCGAGCTCCAAACGAACAGCGAAAAGAGCCCTTGGTACCATCTCGAAAGTGAAAAGATTTTATACCGAAAACATTTTATATTCCGCAAGAATTGATCTCTTTGAGTCGGTTCACCGTTCGCCTAATTGCTTACGTAGACCGTGAGCGTTTTGCCGGATTACAACACATCTCGCCGAGAAGTGAACACAAATCCAGGCAGAAAGACCTGCGTCCACGACGCTGGAACTTGGTCCAAGTTCTAGTTTCGAGAGATGCCTAGCCAATCAACTTGCAGCTATTCCATAAAAGCTGCAAATTGATCGGCTACACGTTCTCTCTCGGAACTAGAACTTGGACCAAGTCCTAGCGTCGTGGCCACGGGCCTGAAGAGAGGAATAAAAGTTCCACCTCGCGATCTGTTCCTTGTAACTGCACTACATTGTGGCCAAAACGAGCGTACAATCGGAAATTGAATAGGAAAGAGAAAAGAACGATACAAGCCCAGTTGCAAAGAACAATCCTCATCGATACATCAATCGTGAACCTTCGAGTCGCATTTACGCGATCGGTTCCGCACACCGTCTACGAAATCAATGGCCGGCCAGCAGGTGAGTCGCCAGAGATCGCGGAGGAGGCAAAGAACACGGCGACCCGAGAACGGGTCGAGCCACGTCGGCGGACGGCGACGTTACCGCGATATCGGGTCACCCGACGACACCAAGTATCTGACGAGAATCCCGAATGATCGTCGGGGCGCTTAGGTTAGAGTAACTCACACAGTATAATCAATTATCGATCCGGCTGGCGCGGCGCTGCGCAAATCTCCACTCGTTCGAACGGAGGCCCCGGCGGCTTGGCTTCCTCTGGTCGGCGGCGTGGTCTTACCTGGTGCCCGTCGATCGCCGTAGAGCCGTTCACGTTCCCGCGGGCTGGCGACCTGTCTCTCCCCGCGCCCGAACGACGACGCTAAAACGGAGAGCCCTCGGAGACGAGGGACTTGCGCGCACACGAAGCGAGCGCCCTTTTAGACCGTTGCGACCTCTCCGATATTCCCCGGCGATCCTCGGCGATCCTCGGCAATCTTCGCCGCGTCACGTTCGCCACGGACTAGGTGCTCTATCGAAGACCGGCGGACTCTCGGGAAAGTTTCCTCCCGGCTAGCAGACGGATCTTAATTGGAATGGCTGCGCGCCTGCGCTTCTCGCCATTGGCCGTGTTCAGATATCAGTGGTTCAGGAGGCTCGATCCGACGCACACGTAGGCGGGCGATCGTCGCGCCGTTCGCGACCATGTCCGACGTCCCGTCCTGTCGCTCCGGTCGCCCCCTCGGCCCGACGACGATTGCGTCAAGACGTCGTGCTCCGAGGTGGAGCGTGCGAAACGCCTAACACCCCGGCGGCGAGAGAGTGCGTGTGTTGCCCCTCTCCGCGGGGTGTTGCCGTGTTTTTGGATGTGTGCCCGTCGCCCCTTCTGCTCCGCCGCACGCCCTCCGCGCCTCCGCGCCGCGTTGCTGCTGAAATCACAGCGGTGGTAATCCGACGCCACGATTGGGGACAACCGCGCGCGCTGACGATGACGGACGAGATGTAGATCCCCCGTCGCAGCGGGGCGGAGGCGGAGACCTGCGTGACGACGTCGTGTCATTTTGGAGTAGACGATCGTATCGATCCCCGATCGCGGGCGATGCGTCCTCGTGTTGTTGTTAAACCGCGGACCCCAGCACGTCGGTAGAGAGCCGCCCGTCGGACGAGAGAGATGGAGATCCTCGGCGACTACGAGTACAATCCCAAAGACCTGATCGGCACCGGCGCCTTCGCCGTCGTCTTCAGGGGCAGGCATCGCAAAGTGAGCGCCGTCCAGTTTCTCACCAACGCAGATTGATTGGTCAAATTACAAGCTGCTAGAGAGAGAGATATATATATATGTATATATATGTATTAAAGAAAAACGCACATATATATATATATGTGTGTATGCGCGTTTCTTTAATATATATTTCTTTGTGAAGATTCCATTGTTCTAGTAGAATCTACCGCGTCTGAAACTTCTTTGTGTAAAGCTTTATCAAGATAGATAGCGTGTTATCTTAGATGGAAAGGAGCTTTCTTTATATAGAACTTAGTTAAGAGAGTGATACAAATGCAATGTCTGTATATGCAACGTCTCATAAGGTTCTGAGATGTTTAACGTAAAACTTTGTTGTTTTAGTGTCTTAAAAAGAAACCTGCTTATTTGAGATTTCTTTGTGAAGTGTAGTATTGTCTCGTAAGACGGCGTGTCGTATATTGAACAGATGTCAGCTTCAAGATCTACACTTTGACATTTTTTAATTTCATTTAATTCGAATAAATACTTTTTTTAATTAATTTAAATCACTTTGGTCCATTGCGAGAGCTGCAATATTAATTAACCGAGTGACAGTGATTGTATCTAGCTGCTTTGTATTTTGCAGAAACCAAATCTAGTAGTGGCTATCAAAAGTATCACGAAGAAGACCTTGGCCAAGTCGCAAGACTTGCTGAAGAAGGAGATCAAGATCCTAAAGGTACACCTCTTGTGCTCATAACGGATTTCGAAATTTTATAACGAAAAGGAGAGAGAAATATTGACAAATGTTAAAAAATACATTTGCCGTGAATATTGCGCGAAATTTTTACTATGGGAAAATTATTCTTCGTCTTACAGGCATTAACTAAGCTGCATCACGAGAATGTTGTCGCACTGTATGATTGTAAGGTAAGACACACTGTCGCATTTACAAAGACATATGATATGAATATATTATCATGAAAATATTATAATCGATGTCTTCTCGATGCAGGAATCTAATCATAACGTCTTCCTGGTTATGGAATATTGCAATGGTGGAGATCTGGGAGATTATTTAAACGGTGAGCACTCGCGACCTTAAAACAACCGCACGATAACTGAGCCAAAGAAAAAAGAAGCTGTTAATGGAACTTTAATGCGTTATAGGACGAACGGGTTTCATGTGTAAATAATTTATATATATTTTTTTTAATAGCAAAAGGTACTCTTTCCGAAGATACCATCAGGCTGTTCCTCAAGCAGTTGGTTCGCGCGATGAAGGTACTGCATGCCAAAGGGATAGTCCACAGAGATCTCAAGCCGCAGAATATCCTGTTGAATCACAACTGTGGCAAAGCCTGTCCACAGCCACACGAAATAACACTGAAGATAGGTGAGAGCATTTCCGAAGGTCTGTTCGCGTTGCATACCTCAACGACCAATACCGTCACTTAAATCTTTAATAAAATGACGTTATATTAATTGTTGGGGCAAACAGGAGCATGTGGCGCATGCGACGCGAACAAATCTGCGAGTCTGTATTAAATGTGATTCTTTTCCAGATTTGATCTCTGATAAAAATGTGTCTCTTTTTGTTTCAGCGGATTTTGGTTTTGCTAGGTTCCTGCAGGAAGGCGTGATGGCTGCGACTTTGTGCGGATCGCCGATGTACATGGCACCCGAAGTCATTATGTCTCTTCAATACGACGCCAAGGCGGATCTGTGGTCCGTTGGCACCATATTGTATCAATGTCTCACCGGAAAGGCACCGCATCCTGCGAATAATCCTCATGCACTCAAGTCGATCTACGAGAACACTGTTAATCTTGTTCCTAGGTACAGAGATGTGTAATATTTAATAGGAATGTTTCATTCTCTTTCGCGTTAGTGTCTTTAATTTACATTGGAATTAGATGAAAAAAAAAGATCTGAATTTTATATAATATATGTAATTGAAATGTTTCTTTGTAAAACAGTGGATTCTTCATATTCTTATGGATTTTTTTCATTACATCACCATGTCTATTTTACTCATACTAACTTTTCGTCTTCTTCAATTTCTTAATCTGGTTTTTCTCGAAATCGGCAATTTTCTTATTTTACACTAAGAAGAAAATTAGAGTAGAAAATGTAAGTGAGAAAGTATCAAAGTCTCCTTCTTTTAGTATACCGCCTGGAACATCACCCGAGCTGACGAATCTCTTGATGGGCCTGTTGAGGCGCGAAGCGACTGACCGCATGGATTTCGACCAGTTCTTTGGTCACCCGTTCCTCACGGGTGTCCGAGAGAGTCCAAGTCCAAGCCCTGTACCTGCCGAGCTGCCGGCGTCCCCGGGGACAATGGCGATTCCGATCGAGGAAGGAACGCCGATTGTCAACAGATCGGAGCCCGAAACGACGGAGACTCCTTGCTCCAGTCCCGAGGATGACTTTGTCCTTGTGCCGAGCGACATCAGTAGCGATACTGACAATAATCCGCCAGTCAAGTAAGTGTATAATTAGGTAATAACCTGAAAAAAAAACCAAGGAACGTTAGTAAAAGTTGCGAAAAAGTTTTAATAATAATCGAGAAGAATCTAATCTTTATATATTTTCACATTTACTTTATTATGTAGGTATAAAATATTTTATTAGAAGGTGTATGTGCCTGAACATTCATCTGTGATTATTTTCCAGATATACCAAGCAAATCAGTAGGGAAGCTGTCAGTCCACCCCGACCATGCTTATCGAAATTGGGCGAGTACGTGACATTTTGTTACACTTTATGGGTTTATAACTTTACAAAAATTGCAAACTTTTTAATGCCAACGTTATTATCCGCTAGATATACCAGACAGACTAGCAGGGAAGCTATCAGTCCACCCAGACCGTGCTACCTGCCGATCTCTGAGCCGATTCCTGTTCCATGCCAACGAAACGCAGTGGCCCAGCATCCACCGCAGTCTCCCTCGACGAATGCCATCCGTTCCGGCAGTAGCGTCGTACCTCGCTCACAACCGATCAGCATGAAACGCAGCGCGGACTCCCACAGAGGTCACCCGCCGGACATCGGCTCCCTCAGTCCGCCTAGCGTGCAGTTTGTCATCGGCACTCCACCCGGTAGAAGGTATGACGTGCCCTTGAACGAGTCAAAAATAATTCTTCTTTCTTTTCTCTCTTTGCAAGTTCTTAAGTAATCTAAATTATAAAATTTTGCATTGTTATCTTTCTCAAAGAATAATCGCATGATTTTTATGGAATTTCATTTTAAAGAATCTTGATTTATCTAAATCTTTTATTTGGTTGCACTTTGTACACTATCAATAGAAAAAAACTAATCATTACGATGTAATGATTAACAGTCTATTAATTTCGAGTCACTGTACATTTATTAAAATTGTTTGTAAGCTTTCACCGAATTATATATTTTTTTTTTGTTTTATTAAAGGTCCAAACTTTTGATTAATTTCCCATGTCCGGAAATTTTCAAGTGTAAACTAAACAAGAATAGGAAAATAAAAGTTAATTTATCAACAATTAGATTAAGCGAGACTCCACCGCCGCCCAACACCTGGCAGGTCAGTCCCGTAGCGAGACACTCGCACACGCCGAGCGGAACCTCGCCGTTGCGGCGTTCCACGGGTAATAACAGCGCGTCCTCGCCGTTGCTCACAGGTCCGCTGGCGGTGCTTGGCTCGCCCACCTCGCGAGCTTTTCAAGACAACAACAACACACTCAGGCATTCGCCTGTCATACCCTTCGGCACTAGGGCCGTCACCCTTCCGGAAATATCTGGTAATCCTCTGATCATTTTTATATAAATTTCATCGACTGGAGCAACGTATTGCGATCTGCAGAATATTGTGTACCTCAGTAACATCCATTAACTTACACTTTAATAATTCTAATCCATTGATTATGTTCCTCGAAAATATACATATCATATTATTATAGATAGGAAAAGAAAACTGTCTTTTATCTAATAACTCTGTTAATTATTCATTTCGTCTGTAGAAGCCGGTAGTTTCCAAAGTCTCTTCCCGGATATGCCGACGACAATCGATGATCGTCCATTAACGTTTATCGCGCCGGAGCTACCAGAGGAGACGCTGATGGAGCGCGAGCACAACGAGATCCTGGCCAAACTGAACTTCGTCGTGGCGTTGTGCGAATGCGTGTGCGAAGTCGCCAGATCCAGGGCTGGCCCGCTCGGCAATATCGAGCAACCGGCGCCTCTCGAACAGGCTGGCAATGCAGCCACCAGGAAACGCGCCGAGCAGGTCATCCTTCTGGTACGAGCCCTTCAGTGGCTCAGCTCCGGCCTGAATCTGGCCACTCAGGAACTCAAAGCTGGAAGGCTGCAACCGACAGCCACCGTGAAGGAAGGTAAATGCGATTCCCGTTGTCGTAGTACTTACGCAAGTTTAACAGATTCTTATTTTTCAAGTTTACCAAATATTTGACCGGCGTCTCGCCTTCGCCATTTCTCATTGTAATCCATTTCTTAATTTTCTATGATATCTCTAACAAGAGATCATGCATATTCAAATTGTAAATTTTGTTGGTCTATGAGTTACTTATAAACTATATTTAAATTGCACGCCTTTAACATTGCAGTTGTCAGTACCATGAACGAGAAATTCAAGTCGTGTTTGATGGAATGCAAACAACTGAATAGCGTGGGGCTTCTTCGTCAAACAGGAGCTACGGCGGACAAGATACTGTACAATCATGCGATTCACATGGTACTGAATAACTATATATTTCTTAATTGCGCTTATCGCCTCCAATTTCCTTGGAGTCTAAAAATATGTCTGTGCTTTTAGCAATTGAAAAATGAATACAATGTTACCATTGATCTGGCATTCGAAGTATTTGATGTGATTATTTGTGCAGTGTCAATCGGCGGCATTGGATGAGCTGTTCGGAAAAGGCGGCGAATGTTTCCAGCGATATCACACGGCGCAGATATTATTGCATTCGTTAGCGCAACATGTCAGCCATAGTCAGGACCGAGCTCTGCTTATCAAATGTATGTTTTGTCTCCGCGCCGATCGAATCTTCATCGAATCGTAGAGAAATCTGTACTTCTTGTCTTTTTAAATTATTTTGAGAGATTTTGAGAGATTGAAAGATATATTTAATAGTAGTAAACATGTATATCATCGCACAATGTATGCAATTTCTTTTTCTCAATTTATATTAAAAATTTTTGCTATGAAAATACCTTTGCACATCAACTAAATATTTACTTGCCAATTTAATAATTATATTTATCAATCGTAGTATCTATTATGTAACAAATAACAGATATTTGTTAGGTCTCTTTTTCGCTCGTTGAAAATTAACGCTAAAAGTTAGATTATCTCGCCGATATAATTTTTGCACAATCTATCG